GCTTATCTGAAATTTCTCTATCGAAAAAATCTATAATGATTCGTAGCACTGAGTGAAACATCGCCATAGTCATGTCACACTGAGTCAAACAGGATTCAGAGAGCTAAAAAGAATCTACTTGGTACGCAAAGCGGCTAGTACTACTTGTAGGCCACATGTACCACACATGATGAGCGGTTACCAGTACCATTTTTGGTATTTGGATATTGTATGAAGTCACCCTGAGTCCCGAGTCACTAGACTGGACCATTTTTGGCAATCGGAGTTCTAGCTGGTTGCAAAATGTGCAAGCCACCGTCATTACCTTATGTTCTAGCGTTCAATCAAGTCACATACTGCTACATAGTTACTGGTACACCCGACTTGCTTACGGAGTGTCATGAATCTCTGGCAGCAGACGATTCGCGCTATCACATGACGATCATCCTCCTCAGATCGGAACAGAGCTTAAGCTGGGTAATTCTAAAGCGCGCTCGGGTGTCACGATGATCGACACAGTGTTCAAGTCCGAGCTGAGACTAACTTGCTCTTGTTAATAGAACACAGGCCACGCTCGTGCGGTATACACAAAAAGCTCATCTGAACCGTCCGAGTCACTGGTTATGATGACTTTCGCGTCCCTCAGCACTAGTAGTAGTACTACTAGTACTATGATCACATCGCACAGACTCGGACAGCGGCGGCAGCGGCTCACTGAGTCAGGTGACTAGGCTAAAACTATGATCGATTCTCCACTTCCCTCGAAGATTATCATACGATCTAATACCATCGTGAGTCACTAGTCAAAATTGGCGGTTGTGCGTTGCCTAGCCCACTAAGCCAGGCGGCCCAGGCATGAAATCATGATCTATCAGCAATGTTCAAAACCACCCTTGAATATTGAATCCAGGGTGTTCGGATGTCTCATTACCAACTGCGGCAGTACTAGTCTGCCAGCCTGGGTATTCAGAATCAGGAATGCCGACCTCGCAACTTCATAGCATTGGACAACAACATTATGCAATTCAGTCAAACACCACCCCTTTGAATGTCCTGCAACACCAAAATTGGTTATAGCTAGCCTCACTAATATTCCTGGGATCCTGGTAACTATCCTAAGTAAGTAGTCGGAACCTCTCATGCACAGAAAATCTGAGTCAATAAAATTCTCCAGCGAAGTGTTTTTGAAAGTCCGATGGGTATTTACCGCTTATGCACTCACTTGTCGTGCCCTACTCCTAGCACCCCACGTACTGAAAATGAGCTTATGTGCCACTACATGCGTTGAAGTTCCTTGTTTCAAACAATCCACACCTCTCCAACGCCCTTTTACCCCCAGTTATACTTCTAGCCATGTAGGTTCTCCTCCAACCACTCCTTCTGTCTCTCCTGGAGGATCAGGTATGGATAACTTAGTGATATTATGATCCAGATTGACTCATGAACCAATCACAGTGGCGGGCACAGTCTCAGAATCAGATGACGATTCCTTCCCTTTGACACCTGATTCTAAGCGCTCAGGCGACACACGCCATGTCGCCGATATCTCAGGCAAAGCTGGACCATTGACTTTAAGTCGGTATCATAAGCACCACCACACTGACAGCTATAATTATTCCTTCCATCCGTATTGCCGAACACCATCTTTTCAAGACCGGCGTGCCTTTGAATGTATGTTGGGCAGCTCTGACTGTGACAATTTATTGGAAGATATGAAGGGCAAGGTGGGTCCCCTTTTTTGGAAAACATATGCAACTCACTATATGCATCACACTTCCAGACCGATGATTGGCTTTTGAGGCATATGGATGCGCTTGGACCCCAATCTTTCTGCCTTGTTGTTCACTACAAGGAGGCCGTCTGTGAGCGCCAACGCTTGGACCTCTTTGTGGCATACTGGGCACGAGAGGAGAGCAAAAGGCTCGATAATCTCCGCCAGTTCATGCTTTAAGCAGCCCAGGAAGACTTTGTCAGAGTAGAGCGAGAAACCTCGGTCTTAATGAGAAGACTTCTGGAGAAGCATCCACCGTCTACTGAAATAGATGCCCAATCTCTCGCTACGCTCACTGACCACAACAAGAAACATCTCTGCAGGACTGATGCTCAGCTTGACCTTTTGAAAGATCGTATCATGCAGAGGCAGATGGCAAGCTCGCATCATGATGATCCAGATGCTGCCTCATGAGACTGCCTTGACGACAAGTCAGTGTTCGCTTCTATAAATGGAAGCACCTCATTAACACCTTTCCAGACATGCACAACTACCCGTTTATGCATTGCTCAACATGCTCAACATCCATATCAGTTAGCGCTTAGTTCCTACTACTTTACAGTGTCACCACTTATCGTTTATTGTAGTAAGAGAAACACGTTGTAAAAGCTAAACTGGGACACAAGTGGAGGATTGTTGCGGATTTTCATGCCTCATGATTGGGTAGGTGCCACATGGATACAAATATTTTATTTATAAGCTCAGGTACCTCAATTGCGAATTTACACGATGTCACATGAGTGTAACTTAGTGTGACACGCAAAATGACCGCTATTTGATGAGTACCGGTCCCCGGTCCCACAAGTTCAAAAACTAAATCAAATTTGCTTGGACAATCCAACGGGAAAATCATATTTTTTGCGTGTAGCCGTTCCTTAACTTACTTAGTTGTAGGCTTGTAGTTGAATAAAAGCTCAAATGTGAGGAAAACTTCACGGTTGGTCATGTCACAGACACTGTATGGAGGTACTTATGCGAGCATAGATCACGGCGGCCAAATACACGAGGCCTACCTTATTAGGCGCCTGCTAAAAGTCGTTACCCATATTTGGCAGGGGACTGAAAATTTCATTGCAGACGTAGATTGAATACGCAATATTATGTACTCAGTAAACGATAAACGATATTAAAATATCAGTGTGACTATATTATGAGATACCAATGTGACTAAGTATGAATGCACGTGGTTTGCTCTTTGGCCTATTTTGGTAATGATGTATTGGATATCGATTCATGCTTTACGCCTCATGACTGCATACTCCTCATTGCAGATGACATATTCAGTCCCCTCGTGTCGTCAAATGAATGTTTCCTATTGTGGAAATCTGCTCATGACTTGGTCTGACTTGGTCGGAGTCAGATTCAAGGTAATGTACAGATTTTCAATTTCAATCTACTAACATTTGAAGACGAACTGCCGTGGCAATGCGCCCCTTCGAGTTTGGGGCACAGCTACCCCCGAACGATGACGATCCCTACGAGTTTAACTTCGCCTCCCCAGTCACTGCAAATGCATTAGACATACGGATGCCTGTGCCCATGCGGCCATGGCGTGGTTTTGCGCCACCTTCCGAGTCCAATGTGTCTGCCAGCGGCTCTGGCTCCCAGCCACAACAGTCACTCGCCAATGCCAACAATGTCCAGCGTGACATTCACTCACAGCTACCGTCTTCCAACAGCTCTGGCTTCCAGCTGCAGCAGTCGCTCGTCGACGCCAACAATCGCCAGCATGACATCCCGCCACAGCTACCATCTTCCAGCATCTCCAGCTTCCAGCCGCAGCAGTCTTTCGTCAACGTCAACAATCCCCACTATTACGTTCACCCACAACTACAGTCTAACTACGCCCTAGAGGCGCCCGGTTATTTGGTACCGCACGTGTATCATCCAATCCTCAACGAGAGGCAGCCTCTCGGCTCCTTCTTTCCCGACTTCAGCCAGGCAGTTCCGTCTATGGACAATGATATACTGTTACCAGTTGGTACTGAATATCGCGACGAACCACGTCGAGAGCGTATCTTTGGAGTCAACAGTACTCTGGGTCAAATGTTCAATAGGAAGTGCAAGGGCCGCGGCGACAAATCAGATACAGAGTACATTGATCGGCTGCCACAGAAGAAGATCAGACTCAGGGTACGTGATTTACATTTGGTGCATCGCTGACCGCTGATATGCTCTCAGAGATCGATAGCAAACGCACCGACCATGCTCTTAGCAGATGCTGAGCAATTCGCAGTTCTCTCCTGGCCCCAGCTTGTCGCTTCACCCCCTCCGTTTGCATCCTCAGAAGCGGGACCATCCACGGTTCCCTCCCAGTCTGTCGTTTCGCATCCTCCTTCTGCATCACTGGACTCGATACCCTTCACAGTTCCCTCCCAGTCCGTTGTTTCACACCATCTGACTGCACCCCTCGATTTACAGCCATTCACGGTTCCTTCCCAGTCCGTCATTTCACAACCTCCATCTGCACCCTTCGATTCACAGCTACTCACGGTTCCTTCCCAGTCCATCATCTCACACCCTCCATCTGCACCCCTCAATTCGCAGTCATTCACGGTTCCCTCCCAGCCCGTCGCTGCTCCGGCTGTACCTTACCCTGATATCTCAGAGCTTTCATACAACCCAGCAAACTCGGCACACAAGAAAATTGTCTCGTCCGCCACGAAAGCTATCAAGAGCCATTTGATTAATGCACAGCCCCTATCAACTCATTTGGAAAGAAGGCATTGGGTTGAAACGAGGTTGGAGGAGTCGGCTACAAAACAGTATCGTCATCCAGGTAAGCCGGCATACACTTACAAGGCTTTCTCAATGACTGACATTTTGGTCGCAGATCAATAGAGTTCGGACGTAACTGGTCTCTCGGCAATTCGGCGATGTTGTATATGGCACTCTCTGATCCCTGCAAAAGCCTTATGCAGACAACCAAAAGGATCGCATGCTCCAAGGTTATATTGTACGGTCTACGTCCTGGAATACGGTCGATGGCCAACGAACGCCAGTTTCGGGCAAACAGGATCGAGGGACTTCTCAGCAAAGGGACGTTCCCACCGAGATTTACCTTCAGTGAGGATGAGTTCAGCAAATTACACTTCCTAGAAGACGAGGTGGTGTTGCATGTCCTCCTGGACACTGTCGCGGAACTCGAACTCCGCCGCTACGTTGACAATCTGGACAGTTTATTTTGCTTGGCTGCCACCACTGTCAGCTGCGCCTTGAACGAACTCAAGAACGATCAATTTGCTCATATTGAATTTACGGCCGAAGGTCATCAAGAGTTTTACAATAACCTACTTAACTATCTTAGAAGGATGTCTAGCGACCCAGTGTTTTTAGCCCGTTGGCAAAAGTACAAAAGGCTCACTTTGGCCAGACTCGCACAGATTTGCTAGTTTTTGTTTGCTCCCTTACGACTTACGACGTACATTCGAGTTTACTGAATGACTAAGTTCACATTGAATCTTACCTAGTACGGTCTGGCGGTAAATGTGTGAATGTGACTCAGACGTTGTTTACTCCGCAGAACCAAATTTCACTACTAAGTACTCTGCCCACCTACCATTGGTTCCTTCCCTCAGACCAAAGAGATTCGTACTGCCTGTGCCAAGCTTGGCAAGGGTGAAATCTCTGAGGCTGAATACGATGAGTTCATGGAGAAGGAGATTGAGCTTGGTCGTCAAGTTCCAGGAGAAAGTCGGCCTTGACCTCCTCGTCCACGGCGAGCCTGAACGTAACGACATGGTTCAATACTTCAGCGAGCAACTGAACGGCTTTGTCTTCACTCAAACCGCCTGGGTGCAAAGCTACGGATCTCGGTCAGTATTGCATTACGAGGAAAGTTGAATGATCGAGCCTCATTGTTTTGCCAACAGTTAGTATGTCCGTCCCCCCATCATCGTGTCCGACATTACTAGCCATCCCACGCCGATGACCATCAAGTAGAGCAGTTACGCACAGAGCGTCTCCAGCAAGCCCATGAAGGGTATACTTTCTGGCCCTGTTACCATCTTGAACTGGTTCTTCCCTCGTGGCGATGTTCCACATAAGCTGCAGTTGCAGCAGCTTGCTCTTGCGCTCCGTGATGAGGTCCTTGATCTTGAAAAGGCTAGCATTAGTGCCATCCAGGTCGACAAGCCTGCCGTTCGTGAGGGTGTAAGTGTTTTCATGTGATCAGATAAATTCGCTGTTAATCAAGCCTCAGCTTCCTCCCTGCCACCCTGACTGGGATGAGTACTTGCAATGGCCTGTGGACACCTTCAAGCTCTCCACTGCTGGTGTGAGCGATGCCATTGAGACCCACTCTCACTTCTGCTACTCCGACTTCGGTGACATCTTCCCCTCCATCCAGCGTCTTGATACCGATGTCATCTCTATCAAGTTCTCGAAGAGTGACATGAAGCTCCTCCACAGCTTCAAGCAATACGGCTACTCCAACCAGATTGGTCCTGGTGTTTATGACATCCACTCGCCTCATATCCCCAGCGAGGCAGAGATCATCGAGTGTCTCAAGACCACCCTGGCCATCATTCCCAACCACCTCATGTTCATCAACCCTGTAAGTGGAATATCAAGTGTTCGCTCTAAAGCCACCGTTCATATTTTCCTACAGGACTGTGGTCTGAAGACTCGTGGCTGGAAGGAAATCGACGCTTCCTTGGCCAACTTGGTTGCTGCCGCATGCTGAGCCAGAGCTAACACCCAATTTTCTACACATCACGCTTCAACAGCGCCCGCATAAGTGGTTAAACTATCATGGCCCTTTTACCCATTGGTAAGTTGAGGATTTTTTTGCGCTCACTGGACACTATCAGAAGCTTCTTAGGCACTACACACGATCCTCCTGACCTCAGAATATCTGAGGCACTCGAAGCTAATAACGGTGAAGCTACCGATGCATTTAGACTATGGACTAATTTGATATACAAGTAAGTACTGTCAGGACTATGAAGTGTAACCGGTCTGATAAGACTCTTCAGCATCATACACGGATTGACTTCTTGGTCTCACTCGAGCCATTATTATGGATTACTTCATCTAGGTTTCATTAGTATCCATGGCTGGCGCCCAAATCGCGTGGATGGTGGAGCTAGGATCAGTTTCCAATGCTACGGGTTCGCCAAAAATATTAACATAGTACGCCCGCTAGATACGGAACTCCGTTTCTCTTGTCATTGGGGATATCAGAACAGGTTACTAGCCTGGTCTGGCTAGCTGGGCCTATCAGCGGTCTTATTGCACAACCTCTCATAGGTATGTTCTCTGAGATAGGGTTTGGGCAGTCAATTGAACAGTTCACAAGGTGCAATATCTGATTCGTCTACGTCGAAGTATCGGCGGAGATACTGGGTAGTCTTATCGACCAGTGCACTTGTTGTCTCAACGCTAGCGTTGGCGTATTGTCAGAACATCGCTGGTTTCTTTGTTGACATCTTTGGTGGAGGTGCTGGTGACTGGGATCCAGAACGCACGAAGCAGGTATGTCAATGTTCATAATTCCCCATTCGTGTCTCTTACACTACCAGGCTGTAAACGTTGCGATCAGCATAGCTGTCTTCGCATTCTACGTTCTTGATTTTGCTCTGAACGCTCTCCAAGCATCTTTGCGAAATCTTCTCCTGGATATCACTCCCCCTGATCAGCTCAATGCCGGCAACGCCTGGCATAGCTGTATGTGCCAAGCAGGTAATATCGTAGGCTACAGGTTTGGTATGTTGTTGTCCATGTTCATTTACCAGCGCTGCGCTGACGCAATGTCAAGGTTTCATCCCTCTTGCGAAGCTGCCCTTCCTGAGCTTCCTTGGTGGCGATCAGTTCCGAAAGTTATGTGTTGTCAGCATGACTATCCTTGTTGCCACTGTGTGGATCACTTGCTTCTGTCATGAGGAGAAAGCTTCCGTAGTAAGGAAGAATAACAAGAGGTCGGTGGATTGATATGGAACCGACCTGTTAGTTGAACGAATTTCTAGGCACGGCAAGTTCGGTGAAATTTTGGAGAATATATACAGTGCGATGACAACGCTTCCGAGACCTATCAGAAGGGTATGTTTTGTGCAGATCTTTGCTTTCATGGGATGGTGCGTGGTATGGGTACTTCTTTGACCAAATGTGCTGACACGTCGAATCAGGTTCCCATTATTGTTCTACTCGTAAGAAATCTCAAATTTAATTCATATCTCATTTTATAATTGATTTTACACACTAGTACCACATATGTTGGTCAAGTGATGGCCTACGAGACAGGCGAGGAGCCAGACAACAAGTTAGCCACTCGTACCGGTGAATTCGCAATGTTGCTATACAGCATAGGTATGTCTTGAAATATACCATTTAAAGCAAAACCTCACACCAACCTAGTGGCTGTTATTGCCGGCAGCATACTTCCCCTTTTTGCATGACGTGACCATCGTCTTCTCCCTGTAGAAGGTGATGATGAAGATGCTCAGATTGAACACTTCCGCGGTAGACTTCACATGTGGCGTCAAGAAGGCACTATAAAACTTCCGAAAATGCCATGGCTCCTCCGGGACATATGGACAGCAGCGATGATCTTGTTCACTTTGCTAACGTTCTCTACATTCTGGATAAGCACCGTCAAGCAAGCTACGGTCGCAATTAGCTTGGTTGGGATATGTTGGGCTGTTGCGTGTTGGGTGCCATTCGCCATTATCATGGAGGTTAGTTGTGTTCTTTCCCAACTGAATTTGAGTTGAATTGTTGTGATTTGTAGCTGTTCAAAGAGATACATAAAAGATTCTACATCTACCTGAAGCGACAACTGAGGCCTCCAAGCAAGATCCTTTACTTGGCCGCTCCACAGAGGTCGAATCAAATTCTGATGCTGAGGGTGAGGTCAGCGATAGTGAGACCAGGCCAGCAGGAGGCACAATCCTCGGTGTTACGTCGACTGTAGGTCGGCGTAGTGGGAACTAGGATAGGTCTTCTCAGCGACGAGTCGAGTGACTCTACTGAAGCTGAGCGTGGTCTAGCCTTGACGGAACGTCAAGGATTCCTCCGGTTATCTCGGTAAGACGGCGCTCGTCGAGATACAGGGCTAGCGGATACGTGCAGAGGCGTATGGGAGCGACTCTGAAGTGCGGTCTTACACAAGGAAGCGGTTAAGCTAAGATGAGCAAGTTCTTGGTAGAACCTAGTAGATTAAAGTGAAGTTCAATCTACAACAATGTGTCTACTTATAGGGAAGTACTATAAGTATTCTAGCTCAGTCTATAATCTATAGTATATCGCTAATCTAAGATAGCTAGACATGAGGTTAGATAAAGTACATGAGGCTTAGCCTCTGATCATACATGCGGCGCCAAGGGCAGCTGCGCATAGGTACAGGAAGCGCCAAGCGCTCCGGGTCTTCATACATGAGGCGCCTAGGGCGCTCCGGATCTTCATGAAGCGACATGCTGTATACATGCGCTGATCTAAGGTGACCATGAGGCGTACAGCCTCCATGGATCAGGTACAAGGCCGTCTAGGCCAGGGGCGGGGTCATAGCGCCAGGCGGGGTCATAGCGCCATGAGGCGGGGTCATAGCGGTCCAGACCGCTGTCTTTCTAGGCGCAGGCGGCGTACCGCCGCGCGGGGAGTCTAGCAGAGCGGGGGCAGGTGTAGGGAGAGCTGGGGCTCTAGTAGGTGTTACAGATCCCTGTAACACTCGGCATCCATAACCTTGCCATCGTGATACCACAATTTATCGTAAGTCTTGTCGATCTGTTACCTTGAAACCTCACTCAGCTTCTCCCGTTTAGATCGCCCTCGTCTCATCTGTGACATTCCGTATCGTAGACGAAACCACCGATGTCGTCACTCCCTCTCCCGATCTCGAGCCCGATCACAACACATATATGGGTAAGAATGGCGTAGCATGGGTCCTGCGGTTCGGAGGTTTGTGCATGCTGATCGGCGCTACTGCCTGTCGTATGGTGCCACCCACCAAGACAGAGCATCAGATGAGGAGTGGGCTTGCTGTGCTGGAGGAGCTCAAGGCTGAAGAGGAGCCCTGATGTGATCTAGTGTGGACAAATCGTTGTATCATACATTATATTTTCAACAGCTGTATCTCGTATATAAGTTTTCTGTGTTCATGTCTATCACTTGCAATGGGCAATACGTATACTAACACCTCGAAATGTTTACCTGTGCATGTAGTAAGGGTGAACGTCTATTACTATCTGAATCCGTGTAGACTCATGAATTCACCATTCTGAGGTTGCAGTATATTGGCTCCGTAATGTGAGTTTGTCAGTCACGGTCACGTTCGCTGAAGGAGACTCTGAGTCCAACTCGACAGTGCAGCAATGCGCTGTGTCTGGGTCACTGGCCTTCTAGCTTTTTTCTTTATTCTAATGGTGTCGTGTACTGCACCAGGTTGCTACTGGGAAAGGACAACTGACTCTCGAGGACTTAGTAGGCATCGCACAGCTTGTCCTTTCCACAAGAGAGCCAGCACTCTTGCGAACCAGAGGAGGCATACTCGCGCAAAAGAGGCTGTTGTATCAAATTTTGTTCCAAGCTCATCTGCCAGCAACTCCGAGCTAGTGAGTCACTGACTTTCCAATGTTTCGAGAGTCGAATTATACATTCGGATGTGACCGTTGACTAACTTATCGACCTTAGAGAATCTCAGCCGTCCAACATGTGAGGGACCGTCCGAGCCTGAAGCCAATGGCACCTCGCAGACTTCTCAAGCCAATGTCTATGGCCCACGGAGTACTCAGTATCTCCACTCTCACGGACTCGCACCCTCGTGACTCAGAGATGCAGCGAAATGATAATCCTGATGTTGAGATGGGGAACAATCCTGGAGATGAGTTGGACTATGATGCAGGTTCGTGTCCCCCAAATGTAACCACTGTCTTATGATGTGCTTACAATTACTTAGATCTTTCAGAGGAAACAAGTCTCCCAACGAGGCGAATTCCGAGGCCTTTAGACCATCATGAACCTTCGTACGATGATTTGAATCATTCTGATCATGCTAAGATTCCATCGACTCAAAATTTGGCTTCACTTCCAGCCCGGTCCAGAATCCAGCATGTTCTTTTAACGTTAAGAGACACCCTCCACACCACGTTCAACTCATATGGGCTCTGCCGACTATACCCTCGTCGGCCTTCCTTTGAGCCAGATAGATTCATTTCATCCTCGCTGCTCACAAGAACATCCCCAACAGTCGCCGATGAAAGTGATCCTCCATCGAATGTCTTCGCGCCGCCTTACCCCTTCCCAAACATGACCATATATCGCCTTATGTCCTGGATGAATTCCGGCAGCAATTTGGTATCTGAAACCAAAGTCTCGCACCTTGTCGAGGATGTATTGCTGGCACAGGATTTTGACCCCCAGCACCTTAAGAACTTCTCCGTGAGGCAGAGCCTACGAAAATTGGATAGCAACGAGAACGGCCAAGAAATCACTTTTCCAGATGACTGGATTCAAACTAGCGTCACAATTGACATTCCAACGAAGTCAAAGGAGGACGGCCCCCAGCCTTATAAAATTCCTGGATTCTACTATTGTCCTCTTGTCGAAGTGATACGCGCTGCGTTCGCAGATGCCCAAGCTCGGGCATTCCATCTCCTGCCTTTCAAGCGGCTTTGGAAAGATCCTTTGGACGGTCATGAAGAGCAGATATTTGATGAGTTATACACCTCTGATGCCTGGCTGGAAGCTCAGGATGATCTTCACAAGCTACCGAGGCAATCTGGGTGTTCGCTGGAACGTGTCATTGCGGGTCTGATGCTCTTTTTGGACGCTACTCATCTCGCAAACTTCAGAACGGCGAAAGCCTGGCCGCTATACCTATATTCCGGAAACCTGACAAAGTACGTGCGATCACAACCGCAATTGGGAGCGTGCCACCTTGTAGGCTTCTTACCTTCAGTAAGTTTATGAATGTTGCATGGTTGTCTACTACTGATTATACTTAGCTCCCTGACGGTGTGAAAGATGTTTTGAGTAAGCTATTTCGCATATCGAAAACCGGTATGGCATCCCTTCAGGCGCACTGCCGCAGGGAGTTGTTCCATGTGTGCTGGGAAATATTGCTAGATGAGGACTTTCTTCACACCTATCGCTATGGTATCATCATCAAATGTGCCGATGGAGTGCTACGGAGAGTTTTTCCCCGAATTTTTACGTACTCAGCTGATTATCCTGAAAAGTGCATTCCTTCCAGACTATTCAACCACATCAAATCGCTCATCAATCTACAGAGTTTTGATCGCAACTATTAAGGACATGGGTTTGTGTCCCTGCCCTCGATGTCTCACACCAAAAAGTTCATTTAATTTTCTTGGGCTCACGAGGGATATGAAAAGCCGAATAACTAATTTACGAGTATATGTCATGGTGAAGGTCGTGAAGGCTCGCAAGTTCATCTCTAGTGGAAGCACTGTTGACGGTGCAAAGGTTGAGGATAGTCTTGGAGAGGGCTCTTGGGTACCTGTCCTGGTAAGTGCAGCTACTTCCTTACAATTTTATAATCGACTATACATCATTTTATGACAGAATGTGTTTGTCCAGAAGCTCGGATCATTCGGCCTTGACCCATTCCGCATGCTTACCGTCGACTTCATGCATGAGTGCGAATTGGGCACTTGGAAAGCACTATTCTCGCACCTTATTAGGCTGCTTTATGCCATCCCTGGGGGTAGTCAGCTTGTCGCGACCCTCGACGAGAGGTACAAGGAGTTCATATGGGCTCGTATTGTGTACCTGTTGAAATCACTAACTCCCAATCTTACTGCAGATTTCGACACATCCCGACATTTGGTAATGGCGTAATCCGCAAGTTTTCAAACAATACCTCTGAGATGAAGCGATTGGCAGCGCATGACTTTGAGGACATCTTGCAGGTTTGCGAGTCGTGTGTTTTCTATCTACGAATCGCTAAAATGTTCTTAGTGTGCGATTCCGGTTTTCGAAGGGTTGTTTCCCGCCAAACATGATGTGGTAGTCCAGTCTCTTCTATATCAATTTGCACAGTGGCACGCTGAAGGTTCAACGATACAGCGAGGCACGAACAGTGCTCCTGACTGTATCTATAATTGTTGTAAGGTCGCGCGTTGCCTAGTCTGCTATACTTGAGACGACAAGTGCGTTCGACCCTAAAGGGGAAGCGAGTGCAGCAAGGATCTAGAGGTATGCGCTGAAAGCGCTACTGGTTGGCCAATGCGAAGCGCGGGAAAGCGCAGGTGCGCGCAAGGCGCGAGAATGCGCGAAGCGCGGGAATGCGCGCGCGTGTATGCGGAAACAAGAGAGGGTAAGAGTGAGTTTGCTTAGGTGAGCAAATGATGTAAGACAAGAGAAGGGAGATGCGAGGTGTAAACAAATAGATTTCTACTATGTTCTGCTAGGTGAATAGTGGGTAGTAACCAGTAAGTCCTCTGTCGTTCTGGTGGGAGAGTAAGTGAGTCCCAGTGGGTGAGTAAGTGTCTTTGTAAGTATGTACTGCTGGCGCTTAAGTATGGCGCCTAAGCGCTGTCATGCGGAGCCGAAGCGCTACCGAGTAAGGTATGTAAAGATATATGTAAGTAAGGGTTCATGATAAAAATAAGGATGGAACGATAAGCAAATGTGAGAAATGGAAATATACGCACTAGGGAACTTGGTGGACAGTGGATGGATGCTTCCGGATGGCTGGCGCTATAGGGCGCTCAAGCGCGGGAAAGCGCGCGCGCATATACATCGTGAAGCGCGGGAAAGGTACGCGCGCATGGCGCGCGTTGCGCGGGAAAGCTGCGCCTCATATAGAGATAGCTGCGGGTAGCACACAGAGTGATGCTACAAGTTCGTGCCATGTACTCCCCAGTGAAAACTGCCATATTGCACAATGAGAGGCATGAGTCTCTACAACGCGCTTGCCAAGCTCAGGATTTACTCGGAGTCTACGGTTGCTTTTCTCGAGGAAACATTTAAGAAACTGTCTCAGAAGCTCTGCAAGTTCCAAGTCTACACCTGCACCGTATTCAATACCGTGGAATTGCCCAAAGAAAAAGCAGCTCGTCAGCGAAAGGCCACTGAACGCTCAGATACTAATAATACATCTGCAGGATCAAGTGGGGCGAGGCCAAAAAAATTCAACTTGGCTACTTACAAGTTTCACGCGATGGGGGACTATGTCAGAAGCATCAGGCTCTTCGGGACTACAGACTCTTTCACTACTCAAATCGTAAGTACTATCTGCCTTCATAATATGTACCTGAAGTCAAGTCTGGCCAGGGGGAGCTCGCTCATAGAGCCCTCAAGTCATTTTATCCGCTGACGAGCAAGTTAGATACCCCGGCGCAATTAGCCAAGCACGAGTGTAGGCTTCGTGCATTACGGCAGGTGGCAGAAGCAGGAGGTATATCTTTTTCTAGCAATCAATCACAAGTCGACGCCCCCCCATTGACATCCCTCGGAGAACATCACCATATCGCGGCTAATAGGAATAATCCAATACAGCTTTTCGCGTTTCTCCGAAAGCACGACGGTGATCCGGCTATCAAGGTAGAAGTAGCATCACGCACCCCGTACTTTACTCACAGCGGTTGTCAGAATTTCCTGCCAAAATTGAAGGACCATATCCTCTATAGACTGGGTGAGCTAGACGTCAGCTATTGTGACCACACCTTTACGGAGGAGGAACGTAACACCGTGATCATCCCTAACAACACAAAACCATGCAAGTGCACTATACGACTTACGACTTGAGGTGTGAATACGATACCATCAACCCCCGGACCCACGGCGATGTTATGGTACTATCAGGGGAGGCAGCGCCTAGCCACCCATACTGGTACCTCGAAGTATGGCTCAACAACGGGGATCGACCTGTGAAGTGGTACATCGACGTTCTGTGGGTTAGATGGCTGGCGGCCTTGCAAAACCATAAATCTGGCATGAAGCACACTCGCCTTCCGAAGATTGCATTTGTGGAAGAATTGGACTTGGATGTGTTCGGTTTCCTTGATCCGGGGCAAGTCATTCGAGGAGCCCATCTTATTCCTGTGTTTGCCTCGAAATGTGGTACAAGCGCGCTTCACTGTGGAAAATCATTGGCACGTCCGATGGGGGAGCTCGACGACTGGGAGGAACACTATGTTGGGATGTAAGTGTGCATATCTTTTGCCCTGGCGCCTTAATTCTCAAACTTTTGAGCAAGATTTGTTGATAGGGATATGTATATGCGTTACACTCACTTCGGTATTGGACATCCAGCCATACTTCGGAAGATTGTCCAGGACACTCTCAGCTCTCATTCAGTGAGAAGGACCGACACCGTGGACATTGTCAACAGTGGGGAGGGTGAGGATGATGTCAAGAGTCTTGAGGAATGCGAGGATGTGCAAGAGGATGATGACATCGGGGGTCTTGAAGAATCCGGTGACGAGCTTAGTGATGGGGAGTTGGATGAGGAAGACAGTGAAGAGTGTAGGAATGACTCGGAGGATGACGACTTCGACGATGATCTTTGTTTCTAGAACTCCCTCCAAAACGCGTACTTCATTGCTTCAATTTCACTCGCTCAAGCTTTCAAAGCTAAGTCTTGGCTTCAAAATTGAACTGCACATGTCGGTTACGAATCGTCAAGCCTGATCATTAGCTTTTTCTCTACCTTTCCTTCAAGTTCAAGGTTGAGCGACGCAAGACTCGGTTCCCGATCACAAAGTTGAGTAGACCAGTCAAGAATACTCGTTTCCTCTGTACGGTAAGGCCAAATATGATTATGTGATGATCGATGGCAGAATTATGCTGATGGGTGTTCTGGGTTGGCCCCACACGCTTCCTTTTATTCCTTCACACTTTGACAACCTGGATCGCACTTTCCACGTCGATAACCACAGCAATAAGACACCCTTCCTCACCGTCCATGGTGACAATCTAATCACTCCGCTCGTTGTCTGCCACCTTTTTGTGCGCTTCATCTCAGTCCTCTCTTATTTATCTACTCCCACGTGTCGCGCACATCGACCGTTTTTACTCATCATTGTCACATTCATCACCAACGCCATCTACCCTATCTCTATCATTCGCAATCACTCATAGCACATGAACACACCTCTTTGCCAGCTTGTTTTTTGATTGTAGCCATTTCAGCAATCACTATCTCACGCTACCTCCCATGATCGTCCATACCACATTCATAACATTATACGACTATTGATGTCCAATTTCTAGTCTTAGCCGTCCCACATATTTGTTTGCAATTACCCCGCGCACCATTCTACTAATCGATGTCCATAGCTTCTACTCCTCTGTCCATCCAAAGGTTCGAAGAGAATTTTATCAATCATCCGTTGCTTGATTCTCTCGAAGCCCAAGGAAACACAGAACCCATTCATCCATCTCCGCGACCTGTCGTGTCTCACTCAAACTGCAACTCTGGTTCAGGAGCACCATCCGCTGAAGCACAGTTTCATATCTCACCTATGAATAAGCCTGATTCTCCCAGCAATATCGATTTCAACACCAACCACGAGAATGATTGTTTACTCCACACTTCCCTTCATCAAAATTTGGAGTCATTGTTCTCTCATGGCGGAGTTCAATCCATGTATAACACATCCAATAATTTCCATCTCCTCCTGGAGTACCTTTCAGACAACATCTCCCTCAAGCAAAGTATTGCAAGGAGCAAGCCTCCAAACGACTTCGGCGCTGGGTCATTAAGGTCGTCTTTGAGCGCCTATAACGGAATCAGTGGTGGCAATACTTCTAGTGCTGGTGCCACCGGCTCATATCGCCTGCATCAGCCAGATGGTCTCCTTTCGCAACCTTATTCAAACACAAACGAGATGTTTCGTTCTCAACAGTCCTTAAATTTGCAGCACCAACTCTCTCAGCAATCTCAGCAGAGTACTTTTAGGTCTGTCGCATTCGAGTCACGTAGCGGGTATAATTTCAGAACCAGCTTTCCGCTAGGAAGCAGTAAGGTTCGTCAACAATTTTCTTCATTGGACCCGTTCCTCCAAGCGCATTCCTCTAACGGCCAACAACAATCACAGGTCCACGACGCTTATCATCCACTGTCGCACAGTAACTCTGGTTCTCAGATGCCTTGCCTCAATGACATACACCTTCAAAGCCAGACGCCTTACAGGTCTCCACTTACAGTCTAACAGTGGCGCTGCAGCAGTGTCAGCAAGCAATGCAAGGCCCATGGGTATTGTTGGGCAGATAAATTTTAACGCAGAGTCGCAGAGTGTTAATAGTGGACGGCCAGAAGAGATCTCGACCATCTTTGTGGTCGGATTTCCTGATGACATGCAGGTATGTACTGAGCCATTTGTGACGTCCCGCAACTTCTGACAGCTCGTGTGTACTAGGAGCGCGAATTCCAGAATATGTTTACGTTCTCCTCCGGCTTTGAAGCTGTGATCCTCAAGATCCCAAACAAGGAGTATACGGCGTACGGGTCGTTCAGTGGCACGACTTCGACAGCTCCATCTGGCCTCTCGTTAGATGAACCTTCGCACTTCAAAGTGGGACGAGGGCTAGATGGCCAGCCACCTCGAAAGGAGGGGATCATAGGGTTTGCCAAGTTTCGTACTCGTCAGGAGGCGCTTGAGGCAAGAGATCTGCTTCAAGGCCGCTGCATCGACATCGAGAAAGGTGCAATTCTGAAGGCTAAAATGGCGAAGAAGAACTTGTACACCAAGCGAGGCATTGGTATGGGTGCCATGACATCCAGAGGTCGCGTAAGTATGTCTCTCATTGAGCGCACAACACCAACTAGTGCTGGTACCGGCGCATCCTTGGTTCATTTACCACTTGTTGTCTTAGGTACCTTCGAGTTCTTGTCCCTGCATTGACTCGTGGCTTCCATTTCGCATTCATCGCACATTTTGATTATGCTACCACCTGTTTTTTGAACTTCGGGTTACCGCCCCAGCATTTTCTTGACCTACATGCATTCCATATGCACGTTATGTATATAAGTGACGTCCTGAGTATACGATACCGTGACTCAGCCTAACATATAATCATGTGCACGGGCCACTGCGAATTTCATTTACCCGAGTTGGTCATAATAGAGGGAACAACCGTCTTCCTTTTCTTTTGGTCTGACTAGGAGAGATTATGCTTCAGTAGCAAATGGTACTGCGACTCGCGGTATATGCACGCGCCTGAAGAAATCTGATGTAAGTCGAAGCCAAATAATGAGTGAATGATCTCGGATATCATTGTAAGCAACTGTCTTTCTTCTCCTTTGGTCTGACTAGGAGAGACTATAGCTCAGTAGCAAACAGTGCTGCGACTCGCGGTATATGCACGCACCTGAAGAAATCCGGTGTAAATAGAAGCCAAATAATAAGTACTGTAGAGATACGACACTAGGTTCATCACAGGTCACAGCCCTTAACGAATCGAATCTATTTGGTGTGACTGTCACATGAATTTTTGGTGGGACGAAGCTAATTTGTGACATATGGGAAAAAAAACATAGGTTATGCGCTAATGGGACCAGAAATCATCATACATCGAATTTGCGATGCATCTACGCTTTCCACGCCCGTAATCAACCTTCGGAACACTATTCGAGCCACTCTCCACATCTTTGGCAGTAATGTCACCCACATCATAGACTTCGGAGTGGTTTGAACACAGAAGTCCGCCATCTGCATCGATATGGCAGTCAGAACGGACGTGTTCACCCCTGGAAGCCATATGATCAAGGAGTGCATCCATTGGCACGTCACTGGCATCGAGGTCATGCTCGCTAGCATCGTCGAAGGGGGATTCGGCTCCGGTAGTATCAGTGGCCTCGTTCTCTGACTCGGAGTTTGTTGCCTGGTCAACGCTGACAGTCTTGTACTGAGCAGTAGCAATCCTCGTCCATCCAGCTGGATCATTCTTCTGAACATCACGTAAATATTGCAACGCCTCTCGACTTGCGAGGCTCGCGAATGAGAGATTGAAATTCTCCCCGGCCTTACACTGGCAGGCTTTAAGACCACAGAGTCTCCAATTCCACTCGTTACCAGTCAGCGCTATGCGAGGCGAATCCATGACAGACTGAAGCAAGTTGCTTGAATCACGAAGCAGCATGTCAGATGGTTGCAAACGGCGTTGCGAGCGGCGAAGCACTACGATCCGCAGGCGAATCTATTTGGGTAAGGTCACAGGTCACCTGGACATTCGAACCTGTAAGACTAAGCGTGACATCGTCACGGGCTGCACGTGACGAACCTAGTGTCGTATCTCTACAGTAGATGGTCTCGGATATCATTACAATTGAAGCAATATTTAAATCTCACGAGAAAGCCATGTAAATACAACATAAAGGAGGGAAGATTACATTTCCTAACAAGTGGGTCCTAATTAAACTGTCATACCTTGCCTGCCGGGATGAAGAAAAGTCATGACCATGCCGGGAGCTCTCATACGAATCTAGGTTAGATGACAAGCGCTAATGGCGTTTTGCGGGATAAAGTCTTGAATGATCTTGTAGTTCAAAACGTAACGAAGGGAATATTGTATTGGTCAAGATGTAGGACCTAACTACGCTATTATAACTCGCCTGCCGTGATGGTGCAATATCGCAACAAGGTTGAAAACTCCTCATGGTAAACTAGACTTTCAGACATTCATGGCTATGTATCGACAACTCAAATTTCTCCCAGTATACATAGTCATCTTTAGCGGCAGCGAAATTATGTCCTCCTATAGTTCCCACGGCTACCATATCAAGGACTCATCGGTTCTCTGATGGAGTCTCCAGCCATGCTCTCCCTCGATCGGGGCTCATTGGCACTGACTCGGGGTCGCACGAAAATTTGACTTTATTGAGCCTGGAAGAGCTGTCAATGCACGTCGGTATTAGGTAAGGACAGTAAAAGCCTTCTTCGTACCGCAGAGAAGCTGTCAGTGTAACAAAAGCAAATTTTGATGTTACCTCACCATCTTATTCCCCGTACGTACGGCGAGAACTATGGGCTATATGCCAGCCCGCGGTCACTACAACAATTCTCGGAGGTAGAAGCTTGCTTACAGCGGACTTTGGAAATGCATCCTACAAGGACTCGCCTTCGGTCGGCTGCCCTCGAGGCCTCATTCTGTATTCATGGAGTTACGAAGGCGTAGTAGGTGCCATTCAATGTATTTACAGGTCAGATTCGCACAGTCTCAACACAGCATGACGCAAAAAGTTAAAACGGATAGAGCCGCGAAAAAGAGAGAATGCAACGACATGACGTGGTGGACAACATGCCGGCGGTTATGCGTGCTTATATACGTTGTATATAGTACAATGGTTGCGTTGAACCGGTGATAAGTTATATCGTTGTCAGTTGATAGTTTACTGTGATGAAAACTTATGTGACTTATGTATCTAGGAGATTTCCGAAATATTATGTAACATCTTACGCTCCTCGTCTGCCAATTAAACTTCAGCTTCATCGTTCATGCATCATGGTTCTGTCACAACCAAGGAGTATAACCTACAATAGATAGCAAATCATATGGCGCGCGGCGAGGCGTATATATACTCACGGATTGGAATTGCTCTTACAATTCTCAGTGATGTCGAATTCCCCAGCTTACTCACCCCAGACAATCAAAGCGCACACCATTTCGATTAGGGTATAGCACGGGTATGGGCCACACCGCGGGTATGGGGGTCACGGGTATGGCGGGTACGGGTACGGTGTCGAGATGTGGTACCCGTGGTCATACCGTACCCGTTAGCACGGTATACGGGTATGTTTACGGGTTACAGGCCACGAGTGGATCAGTTTTCTCTTGGCAGAAGACAAGGTGCGACAATGCGCTGATGACTTTGGTGACATATCTCTTGGCATAGCGGCATCTCTAGTAGATGAGCTTGACAACTATTTGCGGCAACCAGTGGAGAATACCAAAGTCCCGCTGCAATGGTGGGTCCATAATCAAAAGACATATCCAAATTTGCACCGGATGGCACTTGATTACCTTAGTATTCCTGGTAGGTTGTGCACCATTGCTCTCGCTAGCATCACAGCTTATGTATCACACACCATAGCTACCTCAACTGCAGTTGAACGTGTATTTTCGCAAGGCCGGCACCTTCTGCACTTTACTCGAAACCGCTTGTCTCCAGCATCAACCCGTGCATTCCTCTGTCTTGGCTCATGGCTCCGCTGTGATCTGGTAGCGCCCAAGGACCTTACTAAGATCATGAAGTCTCTGAAGAAAAGAAAACGAGAGGACGAGAGCGTTGGGTAAGGTTATTCTATGTAGTTTCACTATTTTTTGTTTGTGTACCCGCGGGTAAATGCAACACTGCGGGTAAGCTGCCATACCGCGGGTTAGTACGGGTAATACCGTACCCGTATCTGTACGGGTACGGTGTTGACGGGTACGGGTACGGTGTTGATCTTCCGACCCGCGGGTGTACCCGTGCTATACCCTAATTTCGATCGAATCCCTAGCAAATTATAACATTCACTCCGTGCGCATCACCTGGGTTGATCTCATCAACGTTATTAGCATCCGCGTTGTCCCTCTCAAATCCTTCCATCGACTCCTCGCCTCTTCCAGACCGGGTATAACCATCGGCAAATGTGTCTTCGGCTTCGTAATTAACAGGTCCGCAGCTGGGTTTGGGCCTGTAGGGGAGTATCTGTTTGTGGTGGACTTGTCATCTGTGAGGTTGTGTTCTTACGCCCCAGGACATGTAAGTATTATGGGCTGGTTCCAGGATAAAGTCCCTGCTCCAGGCCGCATCCTTGGCACGGGTGTGCCCATGTGTCCACGATCAGCACTGAATCGTATCGTCAAGTGCGTCCTCTCTAACACTATTGAATACGGGCTCACTTGAACATTCAGCACCGCCAAATCTTACAACGCCGCGTTCCTGGTTGGATTTGAGACTGAATTCATTCTCCTCAAAAGCACGAACCCGATCGAGGCGATCAATCCACACGGATGGAACAACACGCGAGCGCTACCTTCCGGAACCAAGGAGACAGAAGTTCTTGAGGAGATTGCACACGGACTCGTCAACAGCGGAATCGAACTGACGATGTATCATTCTGAAGCAGCGCCGGGGCAGGTTGGTTTACCTGACTTTTCGTTGGTTTTTTCTATATACTGATTTTCTGCAACATAGTACGAGATCGTGACGGGTCCACTCCCACCTCTTGAGGCCGCTGATGCGCTCGTGCACACACGGGAGACGATCACCAACGTCGCAAGCAAGCACGGGTTTCATGCCACGTTTGCACCAAGGTTGCATATGGACACCTGTATGTGTTACGTGTTATTCCTGTAGTCGATCATTCTCTCCGCCTTCTGCCAATATGTTCACACCCTGAGTCTACCTTCTCTGATTCACTCTCTCACATAGGTGGCAGTGCAGCTCACACTCACATCTCCGTGCACCCCATCAATTCTGAGCATCCATCCAAACTTCAAAATCTGAGCCAATCTCCAGCGGACACATCAGACAATCCTATCACCCCTCTTGAAAGTGTTTTCCTAGCTGGTGTACTCAGTCACCTCCAAGCTTCCTGTGCGTTCACGCTCCCCCTACGTGCCTCCTATGCACGCATGCTCGATGGAATTTGGAGCGGCGGGACATGGGTCTCGTGGGGAAGGGATAACCGTGAGGCACCCGTACGCTTGTGTGTTCCTGCTGCTGTAGACCCGGAGCTCGCGACCAACGCTCCCTCGAAGAACCACTTCGAAGTAAAATGTGTAGACGGCACGGCTTCCCCTTACCTCGTTCTCGCCAGTCTCATCGGCTCTGGTCTTCTTGGCATCCAGTCTCAAGCAGCGCTCGTAGAACAAGACTGTGATACGCCCGCTGCGCTGATGACTGAGGCAGAAAGGGAGGCAGTAGGCGTTAACCGGCGGATGCCGATGTCTTGGGAGGAGGCAAGGGCCGCATTGGAGGCGGATGAGGCATTGAAGGGCGTTCTTGGAGGCCTTGTAGAGGGATTCTTAGCAGCGGAGGAGGTGAGTCATTTGATCGCTGGATCTGTAGTGTTGTATCTTCAACTGGTCTGTTATATCATTTTCACGGGTGCTGATTTATTGTTGTTTTCAGACATTGGATGAGCTTTTACACGCTCCGGCGAATGAGGCGGAGAGAGTACAGATGCTCGTTAAGTATTATTAAGATGGAACGGCAGGCCCTTGAGTTTCTTCGATGGTTCTCGGTTTGGATAGCACATGGTTCACTTACTGGTACCAGTGTCGTAAGAATAATGTTTTCAAGTTTCAAAAATACCAACATTATTCGCAGCTTTTTAGAGCCTCGGCATCGCGCGATCCTGGTACTACCTTGGCGATGATTTTATCTGATTTCATCCGTCAATACAATGGCAGTGACATACAGAGTGACGTTTCTTGTGCTTGCCTGATTGTTCTTGGCTTCAGGCGGATGGGCGCTAGCCAAGTCACGCGGCGATGTCATCAATTGCATGAAGAATCATTACGGATACGTGGATACTGGGCGGTGCGTTTTCCAGGGCGGGATGTCTTCGAAGGCTCACGATATTATGATAGCCTGATCAGTGTTCTGCCAGTCGCCGAACATTCGCCAAAGTCAGTGGACGTCTTCATGGTCGTGAATAGTACCAGGAGTCCAGGGAAAACATTATATAATCACATCTGATTGACTATGGCTTGTCATAAGAGTTTTAAATCTCATTTGCCTGCGGGTCATCAATACCCTCGGAGTCCAAATCCAACATCTCATACAGCTCAATCTCAGCATCCACGCCTCGTATGGCCGTTTGGTAGAAAGATCCGAGCCATTCTTGAGCATGAGAAATCAAAGAGATCTTTGACAGGAATGCGCAAACGAGTAACTGGTATTGTGGCAGGTGTCCGTTTACAGTACAGGTAAGTGTCATGTTACTGTGCCTCGTTTTGTTGGTTGTACTGTGAACATATCATCAAACGCAAAACAGTTCAAGAATCAACAAGATCTTGACAGCGAGTCAAATTCATCCCTGATCGTCACACTAGCTCCGTCCGTCGATGGGCGATTCCGAGGATCAGTAGACCAACATTGCTCGATAAATCGCCAATACTTTTCAGGGAGCCCAGGATAACGAGATCGGAAAGGCTTTTCTGACCTAGCTATGCATAGGACGATGGCGGCGTCATTCGGGAGGTAATAATAAGGGATCTTGTTGGTGAGGACCTAAAGGCAAAGCTAATGACGTCGTTGGCAACTTGAGTGTACTCCAGACACGTACCTGCAACATGACACCGCCGAACGAAAAGATGTCGCTCTGCTCGCTCGGACGAGTTAGAGATCCGTCTTCCTGCTCTAGTACAAGCAGTTCAGGAGCCATCCATCGCATGTTTCCTTTGAGCGTGGACGTCCAGGATGCCTGAGAGGCGGTTATAACCTCGGAATACATCAACGAAAGACCAAAATCAGAGATACATGCAGTGCCATCACCACGGATGAGCACATTAGGCTGGAGCTCGCGTCTCAATGAAATTGGAACTATCAAGAAGATCAAACTCACCCCATTAAAGTCACCATGAATGACATTGTTAGCATGGACTATGAGGAGTAGCTAGAGCTTGGCCTGGCACTGACAGCAACTATCACATACGATATTGCAGACCAGCTATGATATCTCTTAGCTAAGTCTTCCGTCAGTTTTGTGATCTACCCAAAATACATGAAGAGAGGACTTGCCAACCGGAATCGTCTAATAAGAGTCAGAGCCTCACCCTCACGCTCTAAATAGACTGTTAGGTTGCCATTCTCCGCCCAAGGACTGACTATCGCTGGAAATGGGCCGAAGCCATGCGTATAACCAAAAATTGGTGAAACGTTTGTATGCTTGAGGTTGGCACATATTCTGAGTTCACGCTTTATCCTCTACGAAGTGACTGTAAGTAATGGACTCAATCCTTCAGTAAGACACTCGCCTTGAGCTTTTTCATCTTTGATGGCCCAAGTTGATCATCAGCGTACACCTGCAATGCTTTCACTGCAACCTGAAAACTGATTGATTTTGAACAGATGATAGACAAAAGACAGCAAACGAACTTTGACTGAGCTACGATAGGTGCATCTCCAGATCTCCCCAAACCCGCCACGAGCAATAGGATAATCTCCATCCTTGGTGATATATTCTGAGAGGTCTTGGAGCATTTCTTCGGTGGAGAGATCATCAGGCTCATCATTACGAGCGGAGAAGACTGTATGCGTATGGGAAGAGGAAGAAAGGAATTCGCGGGGGTCGGAGTGTAACTGGGGTAGCTGTGAACCTACAGTAGAAGAGGGTATCTGCGGTGGAGGGGGGAGAGTAGGCAACTGCTGCATGTCAGGAAGCGGTAACATCTCGGTAGGCGGTATGCGAGAGGTTCCGGCATGTCTGTCGGTCCAGGATTCGGACTCTACGCCATGACGAGCGAAACTGATAGAAAGAGGTTGTAGAGAGTGGGAAGGAACGCTCAGTTGCACAGTTGGTGGGGCCTTACTAGCGGGTTGGTTGTTGGTGAGAGAGAGTGCGCTGGACTGCAAAAATGGTATTAATGGAGTGTAAAACAAACAAAAGAAAGGGATGAGGACATCAGCGACTGTACCAGTCTGGCGAGTCTTCTGGAGTTCGCCCTCAAGCCAACATGATAGGGCAGCGAAGTGCGCATCTTCATTTGTGAACACGCACGTGACGCGCGCCTCGACTTTGTGGCAGATTGTGGTTTTGTTGTCTTCACCAATGATGTCGATACCGAATTGCTGCGAACGGGTTGTGTGGGTCAGACGAGGAGAAAGTAAGAGAAAACATACCACGATATCATGATTTTCGAGCTCGAATGGCTCGGACTCGACTCCTTCTGAGCTGAGTCGCTCGCCGTTGATGAAAGTGCCATTGGAACTTTTCACGTCTTTGATGTATATCTTCCGCCACGTCCGTCAGTCTTCCCCTCGAAAACAGGGAACAAGACACACCTTTCCACTGTCCTCCCAAATCTCTGCATGTTGTCTGCTTACTACTTTTGAGTCAAAATAACCGTTTCTCTCTCCTGGGATTATTGTCTTTGTTTTTTTTGTGTCGCGCCCGATCGTTACGCGCTGGTCATTGTGAAGGGAGATATGTTTTGGGATAAAAGTGTCGTTTAAAGGATAGAGGTAGAGAGAAGGATATGACGGGTGTACATGTGGAGAGGAGAAGGGTTGAGTCGGGGCCATCGCTGCTAACAGCGGTCAAGTAAATCTTAGTACAGGCTGTACAGCCGTTTGCATAACGCTAGACCTAACTTACTAACTTACTAAGAGCTTGTTCGGTAACCCAAGGCGTTAGCTCAGAGGTCAAGACCTCTAGCACCGCTCAGCCTGGTAAGCTCATTCAGCTTGACTTCTAAATGCATCATAATGCAAGGTACCATTTTACATATCGAGCATGCGCACTGCACTCTTTTCGTGAAAGACATCACGTTAGAACCTGGTGACAATTATACAAGCGCTTGCTTTTGTAACAAATGGAATTTCACTCAGAGTGATAAACGACGACTGCAGGTGTTCGACGTCGTCAAGTCAATGCGCCGAAAGTCAAGATTCTGACTCTCGATCTACCAATGGACGCACTCCTACGCTGCACAATTGACTTGGACCATGGATATGTACTCCTCACCAGGCGAGATTGGTGTCCCTATAGATCAATGCCCCCGGATCATTTGATGGGCACATCTATCCATTCCAAATGGACAGGTTGCACGATCAAGTTGGAAGGAAAATGCTATGACACGCATACCACGCATGGCACGAAAGCTAAAGGTGAGTAACTGGTATTGTCATATCACGGTGTTGGTTGTACTGTAAACCTATCATTGAATGCAAAACAGTTCAAGAATCAACAAGATCTTGACAACGAGTCAAATTCATCCCTGATCGTCACATCAGCTCCGTCCGTCGATGGGCGATCCCGAGGATTAGTAGACCAACATTGCTCGATAAATCGCCAATACTTTTCAGGGAGCCCAGGATAACGAGATCGGAAAGGCTTTTCTGACCTAGCTATGCATAGGACGATGGCGGCGTCATTCGGGAGGTAATAATAAGGGATCTTGTTGGTGAGGACCTAAAGGCAAAGCTAATGACGTCGTTGACAAGTTAAGTGTGCTCCAGCCTACACGTACCTGCAACATGATACCACCAAACGAAAAGATGTCGCTCTGCTCGCTCGGACGAGTTGGAGATCCGTCTTCCCGCTCTGGTATAAGCAGTTCAGGAGCCATCCATCGCATGTTTCCTTTGAGCGTGGACGTCCAGGATGCCTGAGAGGCGGTTATAACCTCGGAATACATCAAGGAAAGACCAAAATCAGCAACACACGCAGTGCCATCACCATGGATGAGCACATTAGGCTGGAGCTCGCGTCTCAATGAAATTGGAACTATCAAGAAGATCAAACTCACCCCATTAAAGTCACCATGAATGACATTGTTGGCATGAACTATGAGGAATAGCTACAGCTCAGCCTAGCACTGACAGCAATTATCACGTACGATGTTGCAGACCAGCTATGATATCTCTTAGCTAAGTCTTCCGTCAGTTCTGTGGTCTACCCAAAATACGTGAAGAGACGACTTGCCAGCTGGAATCGTCTAACGAGAGTAAGAGCCGCACCCTCGCGCTCTAAATAGACTATCAGGTTACCGTTCTCCGCCCAAGGACTGACTATCGCTGGAAATGGGCCGAAGCCATGCGTATAACCAAAAATTGGTAGAATATTTGTATGCTTGAGGTTGGCACATATTCTGAGTTCACGCTTTATCCTCTACGAAGTGGCACCCCATAGTGTAAGTAGTAAACTCAATCCTTCAGTAAGACACTCGCCTTGATCTTTTTCACCTTTGCTGGCCCAAGTTGATCATCAGCGTACACCTGTAATGCTTTCACTGCGACCTGCAGAATTATTATTTTAAAGAGACAGACAGACAAAAGACAGCAAACAAACTTTGACCGAGCTACGATAGGTGCATTTCCAGATCTCCCCAAACCCGCCACGAGTAATAGGATAGTCTCCATCCTTGGTGATATATTCAGAGAGGTCTTGGAGCATTACTTCGGTGGAGAGATCATCAGGTTCATCATTACGAGCGGAGAAGACTGTGTGCGTAGGAGAAGAGGAGGGAAGGAGTTCGCGGGGGTCGGAGTGTAACTGGGGTAGCTGTGAACCTACTGTAGAAAAGGGTATCTGCGGTGGAGGGGAAAGAGTAGGTGATTACTGCATGTCAGGAAGCGGTAACATCTCGGTAGGCTGTATGCGTTGTAGAGAGTGGGAAGGGAGGCTCGGTTGTGTAGTTGGTGGGGCCCCACTAGTAGGTTGATTCTCGGAGAGAGAACGCGCGCCAGACTGCAAAAAATGGTATTAATGGAGTGGTATAAACAAACAAAAGAAAGGGATAGGTACATCAGTGAGGAATAGGTTTTTTGGAGCGCTGGTCTGAAAGAATGTAAGCGCATGAATGATTCGGGTTTAACAGTGCACTCTAACTTGTGGTACAGGCCGAATGACACCGAGGATCTCAGGGGGAGTGTTGCATAAGTAGATGCTGTTGTTGCGCTTGGCGGTATAAACTAGTTGACGCGAGTCGGGTGAAAGAATAAGGTGGCGGAAAGAACATTGAATGAGGCGAGGAGCTGGAGGGACTTGAATGCCCAGAGCTTGATGGTGTTGTCATGAGAAGCGCTGGTTAGTACTTCAAGGAGCCTCCCCGCATCTGACTTGACCGCGAGCTTGGTGGAGTCTTGTGAGAATCGAATTGTACCCACCCAGTCGGCACTTTGGAATGGACCAGCCAGTAGTTTGCTTGTTTCCAAGCTCCATATCCGCACTGTACCATCCCATGACCCGCTCGCCAGTAACGTGCTGTCCCCGGAAATATCGATGAAGTTCAGAAGTTGATCCTCTGTGAGTGACCTTCAAATCTTCTCACGGTCTTCGTCTTCACCTCACAAACTTTGAACTCCCCGATGTTGAAATAATCTACCTGCAGACTCGCGCAGAGACAACATTCTTCCTGCTCACAAACATCCTGTGCATTTTCAATTTCCTTACCTGCTTCTAAGTCCCATTGACGAGTGGTCTTATCGCCTGACCCGCTGATCATTCGCTTCCCGTCCGGAAAGTAGGATATGGATCAAATATGGATGGAATAGCATTTTTGTGACCCTCCAAGGTCAACACGGGTGTCAAAGTCAATTTCTTTGCTGCCGCAGTGGGCTGACAGTCGCGATCTGGAACTCATGTTCTATTTCTCCGCCAGCGAAGTTTAGCATATGCGGGAAATGTTTTATTTGAAAGTATTCAAAGGACCGTCGGTGAGGCTCTTTCGTATCCTGACGCTTGATGATAATAGTGATTTTGAAGGAGATACCCAACCACTGGCAGCTGGTAGGTATAACACATATCGTCCTGTCAATGTTCGACGTTCGTTTACTTGCAGTCAAGTCAATATTGCTGAGGTACTACTGCATGCAACTAAGTACTTACCGCCCAGCACGTACCGTTAGTAGAATGAAATTCGACCATGTTTGCACTCGAAAAATGGTAGCACCTGGATTATTTTATTTACACAGCTACCAGTGACCATATGAGAACCCGAAGGTTCATGGTACGCATTTACATGCTCAGCTGTTGCAGCCATTGCATTGAAGTAATGAATGGGTAGAAAATCTCACTCACCTACTCACTACGTTTGTTAAGGAGACTAAAGGATGTCAAGGGGGTGGCTGTGCAACTGCCGAACTTGTCATTGACCATAATCTGATCGATATCGATCATGGGCAACGAGAAGAAGAATACAAGTAAAGCAGCTGCGAAGGCAGCCAAAAAGCAGAAAGCGGAAGCCAAGATTTCTAAGAAAGAAAAGAAGAAGATCAAAAAGACGACCGATGCACCTCCGGAGGATGAAGATTTAGAGGCCATCCTCGACAAGGTGATTTTTATCGCATGCATCTGAGATCGAGCTCACCTAACGGTGCCTGCTAGTAGATGAACCGCGAATGGGAAGATGCGCATAAGGTCACAGAGGAACTAGTCGAGGGCCCACCTTCCCGGCGCGCGAACGCGACTCTGACGCCTTGCCCAAGCGGAAACTACTTGTGGTGCATCGGAGGTGAATTCTTCAGTGATGACGGCAAGGCCTACTTTTACAACGACGTCTACCGCTACAACCCTGACAAGGATGAGTGGCGCAAGTTCGTGAGCCCTACGTGCCCTGGGCCTCGCAGTGCACATGCCGTGGTGACTTCGGCAGCTGGAGGAGGAAAGCTCTTCTTGTTCGGCGGCGAGTTTAGCTCATTGTATCAGAACACGTTCCATCACTACAGGGATTTTTGGAGCTTTGATATTAGCACTCATTCGTGGGATCGCTTGGATACTAAGATCAGACCTAGCGCGAGGTCAGGACATCGGTGCGTAAGAAATACCTTTGCGCCCCTTCTAATTCTTAGCACGGTACAGGATGGCAATGTGGAAGCACTACATCGTTCTATTTGGCGGTTTTTACGACCCAGGGCATCGCAGTATGTCTCCAGCGTGTGATCCCGCTTGTTCGTGTTGCACTGATATATACGAAAAATCAAGCCCAATATCTAAATGATACCTGGGTATTTGATACTCAAGAGTATAAATGGCGGCAAATCGAATTCAAGGATATGGATCGGAAACCGTCGTGCGTTGTTCCCTGTTTACTTCTGTGAATTGTACCTAGTCATACACCGATTCCTACACAGCGCAAGAAGCGGATTCTCATTTCTCTCTACGCCAGAAGGCATTGTTTTACATGGTATGTATGCAACTTGGTCATCAGATGCTACTTCCCTATGATGCATGCAGGGGGTTATTGTAAAGAATACATCAAGGGTAAACGTCCTATTGGCGTAATGCTCGACGATACCTGGTTTCTCCGGTAGGATTTTGCATCTCCTGCTTCCTATCCCACTTCAACTCGCACACAGCATGTCCCTCGAAACTTCCCAATCTCCATCATCATCCACAATCTCCTCAGATCCACTTAGTTTGAAATGGGAAAGGCGAAAGAAACCATCCTTCGCGCCGCATATCCGGAGTGGCTGCACAATGGCGCTGTGGTCGGTCAAGGGCATGGGCGTCCTGTTTGGCGGCGTGACAGATGACGACAGGGATGAAGAAAGCCTCGAGAGCGTATTTTGGAATGATCTGTAAGTCATCGGAAGGAGCCTGAGTCACCGTGCGGAATGTTCTTGCATGGTTTCATACAGTGTCATCTCGTGAGGCACTATCTTGGCTTGTGGTTGTATTGATGGCGGAACTGCAGACTGACCGAATCTTGCGTAGCTACGGATACCAACTCATTGGTAATGGGCGTTGGCAATCAATGACACTCAAGAAGTTGAAAAAAGCAGGGAAAGGTGGAAAGCGAAAGGCTGCAGCTGTTCAGCAAGGAGAGTCGGACGAAGATGACGATGGAATCAAGACTCAAGAGGTTAAGAACACCAAGGTCAATTTCCACTCATGTGGATGGTGTCGGATATTGAGATGAGACTAGCAGGACCTTGATGTTGATCCTGATGACCCAATACTGACGACCCCAATACCACGGTACAACGCTATGCTAACTGTGCTGAGGAATACACTGTACATGTACGTGGTTCTTTGCTGTGACCATTGTGTACAGCCTGAATCATTCTCCCCCTATCAGCTATGGTGGTATCTTTGAGCGTGGGTCAAGGGAATACACACTCGACGATTTCTATTCGATCCAGCTCGATAAGCTTGAACGGTACACGTGTCTCAAGCACAGCGGCATCGTTATCCCAGCGGAGGGCGACGAGAGCAGCAGCGATGAGGATGACGATGGTGTAGAGAGCGACGAGGATGGTGATAGTGATAATGAGACGCGGGTAGAGGAAGATGATGCGGGGCTCAACCTTCAAAAGGTTGATGATAGTCCCGATGACGAAGAAGCTGACGAGCCCGTAGATGTACGAGTGAGTGCACACATTATTTTATTGTGTGGTACAGTGAAAATTGATGGAACTTCAAGAACGAGGTACGTGCGCAAGCGACGGCATTCATGGGTGTATCCAGAGACACGGCGCGCTCTGCGGAGGATGTGATTAGCACACCAGAACCAGGAGAGACACTAACTCTGTTTTATGCTCGAAGTCGTAAGCTCCACTTTACCCCAGTCTTGCTTCAGTCCTGATCATCATGAAGGTGAATACTGGACCCAGAAAGCACACGGAGTGAGCGATAATCGGGGCAAACAACTCAGGAGGGATGGTTTTAGTTTTGCAGAAGAGCGATATGGTACGTCTGATCGCGGTTGGTCAGCATTGATCATGGGTGCATTCATTTTGTTACCCCGTTAGCGGAGTACAAACCTATCCTCGAAGAAGTAGAGAAGATCCTGGCCGAAGCCGGCCTCGATGAGGATGAGATGAGAGCAGGTGCTGCTCAAACTGGCGGAGGCGGAGGCATCGCGTCAAGTCGGAACCGTCGGTGAATAGTTGAATACTACGGTGATATTTGACAGAGGTGTAAAAAATCATTGAATAGCGATGTGGTCAGCACAAGAAGACCCGCACTCACCTAGTGACATGTACTTATTAATGACGGACGCTAAGTTATAAATTTAATCCAAACGAGTCTCACCTCGCACGGCGTACTATTCTACCACAACTTCTGGTTTTGAGGCTGTCATCATCTCCTCAGTAATCTTTCTCTTTGTTTCACTCCTAGACATTAACTGTAAGGCATATAGATGAGCTTCGGGCATTGTGGATCATATATCACAGGACCCCTTTGACTCTTGTGTGGCAAATCGCGAAGCCGTTATTGAAAACAGGGTTCTAAGCTGCCACATCACGAATAGCTTCTTGAATCGCAGGGTTCAAACTTATTCCGCGCGCGACACTTGAACTGCTGTGTAGATATCCGAAGAATGCCAGTCACGAACACTGCATCCTTGTATCAGCTTGACTCCGAGAGAACACTACTTTGACTTACTATACGACGGGTGTTTCAACGTTTGGACTGTCATGTGCTAAAAGCGAATTGAGAGACAGTGGCCAGATCTAACAAAGATAGACTAGCCCATAGAATTTTGATCGAACCACGGCACTGGCCTGATTCCTTTTCGAATAACTGTAGCCTGTGAGAGGATACAAAATGTTGGTGGTCCCGAGTTAACCGGTCGCGGTAACGGTTATCCTGAAGCTTCGTAGTTAAGTAGTACAGCAAAGTCTTTCCTTGCATGACCTGTCCGACCGACTCCGACCCGACGTCAGGAAGTCCTCCCCATAAGTCTAAATACTTATCACATACTCACCTCTAATTAGTACACCGAAGCAACCATACTTCTCGTTACGCAACAATGTCAACGTACGCCAAGTTGACGTGGCGATAGGGAGGCGAATAAACCAGTCGGAAGTCCGGTATCGTACCACGAAATTTTGATTTGAACGTCCCACTCATCGATGCATGCCCGGTCGTTCGTTCAAAAACAAACTCAGCCTCGGTAGCTTCAATCGGATACATCAGCGGACTGCCTCCGTGAAATCATTCGGCATCCCTCTCATTCCTTACAAAAACTCCCTTCCTTCCGACCTCGATATCTTCTCCGTTTCTGGGAACGAACCTGAGTTCGACGACGATTCCGGCGGTGGTTCATTTGACGATCTGAATATCTTTGAAATCATCGATATGCACGGCTCCCAAGACTCGACGTCATCGACATTGCCTGCACCTGTCGTCCAGAACCGGTTATCGCAATGTTCAATAGCGAAGAACAGACGCGATGATGAAAATGACGCGTCGGCTATGGTGAAGTTGAAAAAACATTTGTTGACGGAAGTCGATGGAGATCAGTCCACGGCGCCTTTGTCTGTGTATTGCTTCATGACTGGTTTCATGTGCGTGAACTGTACTCTTGATCTACTTCGCAACTCACTGATTTTTTTTTCAGCGATTCGGTTACATTCTCTGCTATATTCGTCTGGTGCGCTTTCCAAACGGGAAATAGTTTACAAGTACGAGTACCTCCGCGGTTGCAGAGGATCTTCCCACTGACATTTGTGCGATAGCTGGCCCTCGCCCTTGCTCGCCTGTTCAGCGGGCAGCACGACCACTCGTTCCATATAGCGGACCGTCAAGCGCTGTGTTCGGTGCTCACGTTCATTTTCGGCGCATTTATCGGCCGTATCGGCGATAAGTTGGGCTGCAAGACACGGTTATGGCTGGCCCTCGGCACATTCATTCAAACCCTCTTTACGATGGCCGCCGCCATTGCGATATGGCAGAGCCATCAGGGTAGCGTTGCCGATGCGCGCGCCAACCCCGCATGGACCAACGTGGCGTCCTTTGTGTGCGTTGGCTTCTTGAGCGCGAGCATGGGCTTGCAGGGCATTATGGGGAAGCGTGTCAATACGCAGTTCACCACTACAGGTATGTTTCAAGCATGTTTCTATTTATTTCCTAACCTTTTATTTCTCCGCAGTTGTGCTCACGACGACTTGGTGTGAGCTTATGGCTGACCCTAAACTCTTTGACATCCGACGGATGGTCATTTCGCGCGATCATAAGATCATGGCTATTGCCAGCCTGTTTTTTGGAGGCTTCATTGGCCGTGCATTGATCGACAATATTGGTTCAGCTGCTACGCTGGGCATCGGCGCAGGCATCCGTTTGATTGTCAGCGCATGGTGGCTTTTCATCCCGGAGAAGCCAGCTGGGAAGTGAATATGCGTATGAAGTGCTCATATGCGTGTTTATATCCATGTACATATCTTCATTTCCGACGACTAGGAGACGAGATGCTACGTATGTTGACGGGTAGGGGACGAGAGGATGATGTGAGTTGAGATGTTTTTTTTTGTTCAATTATACCAGTATTTTGTTGCAGTTTTAGTGTAGTATTGCCTAGAGTTTTTTTTTCGTTTTCAGATACAGTAGGCATCACGATTTTGCATGCGCAGTGGCTTCGTCGAACACAAACGTGTTCCCAGCCCATTCTCCTAGTTTTCTCACGGCTTTCTAGTTTTATCCACAAACTTGAATCATGACTGAGTCTCTTCATGGAACTTCACAAGCTTCATACTTTGTTTCCATTGTTGCTTTCTTGTCAGTGCGCGAACAGTCTTTTACCTTCGCTTTCTGAATCGCACGCTGTTTAGGCGAAGATCGAGCGGAGTCCTCTGAGAGTGTCTGGCCATCGTCATACTCAAATGTCCTCCCACTGCAGACTCTTGTCACCCCGTCGACTCTCGAGTTCTGAACTTTGCTGATTACGTCTTTCTCTGTTCAAGTGGCCGCCGCAACTCATCATATATGCATCATATTTCGTCATCCAGTATTGCATATGGTGCTACATGATTGACGTATTCGAACCCTAGCCTCTTTCACTATACATGGAAGCCTAACCCTATTCAGCGGGTCAGCTCAACGCAACGACCCTGTAAGGCGATACCACATTCGAGCGCATGCTGTATGTGATATGCCTGTGACAGCTATCTGTACTAGACTCGAAATGGTGAGAGAATGCCAAGTGATTCGTACTAATGAGGATTAGTCGAGGACTTGGTGCGCAAGCATACTACTAGTCCGAGGTCCCAAATTCAAAACATGTATGTATCTCGCTTGTCACAACGGCTAAATATGACTGTCGGCTAGATACAACGACGTGTTGCTGCGTGCCGAATCCACACTCTACCGCACTACTACCACCAGGAGCGCCTTCCCTGCAGGGTCTAGGCGCGGCAGAGGGCGGATTATGACTTCGGCAGCGCCAAAATCCGAGTCGGAAGAATGCCCCCAGGGGTTAGACTGGTCATTGTTTATTCATAGCTGGGTAACAAGCGCCCTGATATGACGGCAAACTCGGTATCTCAAATTCGTCTATTTGGTTAGTACTCGTTGACACGTTTGGTACTTACAACATAGTTGTACATGCAGCGGAGGAGTCGTATTTAAGCCTCTTGTTCAACATGCTGAGCTATCCTGCCGACAAGCGTCAATCATTACATCGAGTCATTCTAGTGCCAAGTTTGATAGAAGTCCGTTACGGAACTTAGCTTCATCGATAGATGGATAAATTTGATACAAATGATAATCTTTACACCCATCGAAGCTTAGCTGACAGCAGCAGGCACACGAAGTCTCTTGAAAGCACGATCAGCTAGGATCAGCTTCGGCTTTTCGCTTTGGGCCTCTGTCAGGGACTATCGATGATATTTGATGGCTACGCCATTTGACTTGTTTGTAGTACAGGGCGTACTCGAACCTACTTGGCCGTTAAGATAGGAGCCCGGTCAGCGCATGACTCGGATATGAACTGATATGGATCCGAAATACTTGATTCTCTAAATGAGATTATATCGGCTTTCCAAGCATGAGGCAAGATAAGAAGTGAATGATACGGTGAGTGATGTCGAACGTGACATACGTGATCAAGAAGGATCAAGGATGTACTTCATGTGAATACAGTTGCGATGAAATTTGGAAGAGTTTGCATGTGGAGACTAGAAGGACCAGTAAGTCACTGTATGGCATTGCCTGCAGCATGCATGAGATGTCACCTACTGGATTTTACCGCCTCCAATGCTGGGCTTTAACGCGGATGTAGTTGTCGTTATTATTAGTGTGTTATAGGAGAAACGTCATTGATATGTATAAACAAGAAGGACACACGCGGAGTTTGTGTAACGGGTAAGATCGGAAGTCCAGTCAGTAACCACTGTCAGCTGAGGGCCTCGTGTTCCTGTCCCTTGCAATGGGATGTCAGCTTAATTATATTACTTGACTTGACATGCAAAAACTTGAAGGTAAGCACAGCAAGCCTGTACGTGAGTTGGAACGAGGCTTGACACGCATGGTATTACATGCTGGTGGACATGAGGATAGAAACGCAGACTGTGTAACTCGACTTGGCCGGTTGTCTCCTACAAATGGGGCCGAACAGTGGGGGATCCCCGGGAATGTGTGGCCCAAAAAAGGCAGGTGTCCAAGGATGCACGCAGGTAGCATCATGCTCACTGCCTTCTGGTGCCTCGGCCCAGCCGTGTAGGCTGAGGTGCCACGCATCTTGTGGTGCTACCAACGTCATTCTACATGTGTTATATGTTTTACGCTCTTCAAAGCTCCATAGAATGCAGAATGATGAGAGTATGGGGGAGGATTGACCGGTCGACCTTCGGAGGTTTGGGTATATTGACCTTTCGAATGATATGTAAATCCACGCACTGACGTTGGCAATCACTTTCACATTTCTGGCGTAGAAGGGAACTGTTATGCTTGGCACTTCAACCCGATGCGATGCGCTTTGATCGCATTCAAGCGCTCATATCTGCAAATCGGTCTTCGAGTCATCCGACATCTCGACCTCTTTCCTGTACACAGAATACCTACAGCCCATAGAGCTCAACTCCGCCATTAGACACAGAAAACCCTGCCGTCGCTGCGTCGACCAGTGCATAAACTGCTATATCATATGGTATAGTCTAGTCGTCGTCGAGGAACCTTCTCGTAAGCGTCTTATTCTAGCCCCGCCAATTCATTCTAATTTTCCGACTAGTACAAAACCTTCCGCCAGGCTCTTTTCTCGCGACGAAGGACACGGACACGTTTTATCTCTCTTTCTTGGTTGACCTTCTCCAAAATCATCAACAATTACTACTCTGAGCTCCAGCTACCCAACTATTTATATACATGAACATCTAGATATGGTTCTCGATCCAACGTCTTGCAACTCTGTGCCATTCCTCGTCGAACCAGCACCCCCAGGCTCGACGACGCCGAACCTGGTTTTGCCCCCCATCAGTAATTTATTCAGTGGCACGCCCATTAATGCCGGCCCGTTGCCCCCGATAGTATCGACGTCCCAGTGCTCGAATATATTGAGCAGTACTGGTTCCCAGCCGACGAACGACGTGCCCGAGACCTCTCCGTTTATGACACCACCAACGTTAACAACATCTAGTGTGATGGCCTCTCAGGTGCGCACGATATTTCACTGTCTGTGTTCGATCAATGACATTGGCTCCATACCTTCTTCGCTTCCATCACGGGCATCATTCACGTTGCATCTCTTGTAACCATTAACCCATTCACCACTCTCTTCAACATATATTATCGTTTTGTTTCGTATTCACTATTGTGTTTTCATTATCAACATTATACTTCCATTTCGAACTTGTCATTCTTGATGGCCGTTGTCTATTCACTTTCTCTTGTCACTTCAGGCAAACGTCTATCCATCGAACGCTGGAAATGGTTATTTGCAAGAGACCGTTACTCCATCTCCACCTATCAGCATTGAATCTCAACCGTTGTCCAGTCCAGTGTCATCCAGTTTGAGGTAGGTCCTACCGAAATTATCTGGGCACGTTCATACAACTTCGCACTCATAGTTCTTCGTCGTCTATTACAAATTCCGGGACAGCGGGCGCGAGTACTTGGTCAAGTTCAAGTACGCCCTTGTGGTCTTCTTTGACGACAAGTTCTGATAATTTGTCCTCTGGTTCATCTCTGATATCAACACAAACGCTCTCCCCATTATCGTCTACACCCACCATGACATCTGATGTATCCTCAACATCTACCGCACCCGGTTTTACTTCATCTTTCACCACCACACCCATTCCTCTTCCTTCAACTTCGCTGTCTTCAGCAATGACAACATCTACTTCCGCAGTAGTTTCAACTTCCGCCCCACAAAGCTCTTCGTTGTCAGCAGGTCCATATTCGTCATCAGACACAGCCCTCGCATCCAGCTCTTCTTCGGTGTTCACTACGATCACTCCATTTCCCACCACGTTGATTATTTCTACTACCGATGTCGATCAATACAGCACGTGGACTGATACTCCTTGGACATCGACGCTGATTTTGACATCCGTCCTGTCGGGTTATCCCGTCACCACTTGGACGACGACAACGAGCGGGGTGCTCAGTACCGCAGCTGTAGATACCAATGGGAACAGGTGGGTTCTTTGCCTTTGTGGCGTTGTTATGAGGTCACCTGCTATAATTGTGCTAATGGAGATCTCCGCAGGCTCTCTCGTTCCCCTGGTTCTATTGCTGGCCTTTTCCTCGGGGTCCTCGGAGCTATTGCTTTCGCTGTTCTCTGGCTTTTCTGTGCTCGTCGTCGACAGCGCAAGCTATTATCTCGTGATGCGAGCGCTATTCCTCCATGGGCGCCTGGCGGCCCACTTGAAGCCGAAGTAGACATGGAAGAGCGTTATGGTGGGATTATCGCAGCTCTCAATGAGGGCATGGGTGCGGGAAGGAATGTTCGAATCGAAGGAGATACGAGTGGAGAAGTGTCGGGAGAACTGGTAACTGGGCGCGCTTCGTCCCCTAATCTGCCTCCATATTCACTTGGAGAGGATGATGACGGTCCCCATGTCTTCCCATTATCTCCGCCTCCATCTGCGTACTCCGCTCCCCCGCCACCGTCCGCGTATGTTCCGCATACCGCTAATGGTTCCCGAAGAAGAAGTTCGCCTGGGCCCGATGCTTCCGCATGGTTTGGGGGGTATAATGTTGCTCCTGCTCCTTCGGCTGCATCGCATTACTCCCATTCTTCCACCCACTTTCTTACCAGAACCGAAACCGGAACTAGGACGAGGACTGGAAGCGAGGAGCCACTCTTGACGAGAGCCGGAAGCGGATCTTCTTATCTTGATTCTGGCAACAAAGTCAGGCTAGGGTCAGCATTCGGTTCGCCTGAAGGAAGCATGATTGGCCATAACCTTTCACCTACGTCACAGTCCTCTGGCATGCTGAGTGCGACCGCTTCCTTCGACGTTCTGCGGAGTATTTCGTCTCAGGGCGCACTGCGGAGCACGTCTTCGCATGGGTATGGGCTTGGGTTTGGGAGTACCTCGTCCGGTGCCGAGTCACATCAGGGACCTGCGCTAGGGCTCGCGATTAGTGCAGCTCCGACTAGTTACCAGAACAGGCATGTTACGAGATGGAAGAAGGGGAAGCGAGAGAGCACTGGAAGCACCAGTACTGCATCCGCGTCTTTATCCGGCTCTGTGGTCGAGATACCTACAGGCGTACGAGCTTTCCTTGGTCGTCTCAGACGGGGCAATACCCCGAGCCCAAAGGCAGGTTCTTCAAGAGAATTGCCTAGAGACATAGAGAGCGAGGGAGCTGCTGAGAAGATAAATGCTTACGGCCCAGATATCTTCTCAGCTTATGTCTCCCCTGCCACTCCCGAACCTGCGTCCATGTCAACATCCCCGCGGTTTGTGCTTTCTAACCCCGATCCATGGCTTTCCTCGCCGTATGTTCATGCCGACGTGGCGGAACATGAGGATGGCTTGCAGCCACCCTCATGGCCATGGCTTAGTGTGCCGTCAACCTCCTCCCCTGTGCCCGCCGACGAGTCACGCCTGACTACGGCTGACGGACTTCTTGATCCTCGCCTGCGTGACTCTTTCGAAGGAAGGAGCAATTCAAGTTTACGGGATTTTGAAGATTACTCCCGGCCAATTGGAGGTGTAAGTATTGCTTTGTTTTGGCCTCGTGCTTTCCTGTCCGCATAGCTTACGATTCATCGTGTAGCTCATCAATAACCGGCTGCATAGTACCACAACATTTGGCACTATTGATACCCATGAATTTGACAATGGAACGAGCGTACAAAATCGAGAGGACGACCAGCAAGAGGATGCTTGTGCGACAATGACCCAGACACCTCGTGCAAGCTGGATCATAGATGGTGGCGCGGATGTCCACGCGCATTAGGACGAATGAATATGAATTTTTACGACGGCTTGGATACGACTTTATAACAACTCTTTCTTTGCCGAGATGTTTACGAAATGACAAAGCGCTTTCGCTTTGCCAAGATACATGTGGTACGGGTCCTGATTGACAGTCCTCTGTGTTTTACTCATGAGACGAACGTATCTACAGACACGCAACGCACAATAAAATATGACGCAGAGCACTCATATCAATCTGTACATGCCGTACAACCCTTCACATATTATGCTCATATATACCCTACGGGCCCGCTCGCGTCCCGTTGTACCATATAATGACGACAAGAAAAACGACACTTACATCATTTTCTACTTCCTCCCCTAGACTTCCCAACGTGACTTGGTATGTGGTATAGTTCTTTTGATTCGAGTGATTCCTGTTTCTGACGCAGTTGGACTTAAGGTATATAACTTAATTTTGCATTTCATTATGATGAAAGTTTGTCCTAGACCTCACGGGCGAAATGAACAGCTTCATTTTACGTTTAGTATTGTCGCACGTTGCTTTCGATATCTCTGCTTTCAGTATATTTGCTTTCGCTAACTACGATCTTGCTCACTGAGCTTCTTAACCACTTCCTTGTTTATTGTCGCCCCCTGTTATCTTTGCATTGCTCTCCTACGGAACCAAATTGATCATGAATCAGAATCTTTCGAGTGGTAGCAGGGTCGAGTGAGTGTTGCGAGTCTGATGGTTATGCACGCATAGTCAAATGCCCGATCCTCCCTTGAGTCCAGACACGGTACGAATCCTCCGCGTGCCGCATTGATTCCAATTTGACGTCAGTGCTCGAGAATACCGATGATGATCGATCAAGTAAGTACCAGCTTGATCAGCTGCAAGCGCAGTAAACTTGAAGAAGTCAAAGACAGTGAATCAAATGATTCTCTATGAACTGTAAACTGCAATACGAGCAAATTTGGTTGCTGGCCACCAGTGCGAGCAGCTGGTATCGAGGAACGGGAGATCAGACTCGCTTGGAGGCCTGCGTGCGTGCCATAGACAGGCGAGACAACCCTTATTTGTCGTACCGTGAATAGTCTGCGATAAGGTTGGGTAGGGCCGGGAATTTTATCCGAATGTAGGGATAGCGGAGGTCCAAAGTGCTGGGAGCAATGAGATGTATGGAGTAGACATGATCATGAAACAGGGTGACCGCGTTCCTTGTATAATCATTCATGATATGATACAACCACTGCTGGCCCACTGCTTGCCTCGTGTTCAAACCCTTGTCAACTTGCAATGTCCTTCAAAAGCTTCAAGTATGGAACGAATCGTTCCAGTATTCGTGGTTTCCTTGCAGCCGTTTTCCGTCCTTTCATGAGTTCTCCTTCTGATGCCCCCGGCGTGTTCACGTCGGGCGATAGTAAAAATGACGTAGGACAATGGCAGATGCTCCTCCTGGGCAACGAGCTTTCTTCGCAATGCCAGCTTGAACGCGTTGTTTACTGCAAATGCACCGGCAGCAAAGAACACGAATTTTTACTCCTCCATTTTCGCCATCCTACACAACAGTACGCCGTCGCGATCTTAGTTCTAGACCGAACGCTATGCACAGATTCTACAGAGAACAACAATGGCTCGTCAAGACGTATGCAGTCCTCATACGTAGTCTCTCCATCAGTTTCTCCAACCCCCGCTCGTGATTCCATCTTCACTACCCCAAATAACGGTTCTGCTATCGAATCGTATCTATCCAAAACATACGGCCCGTTCAAGAAGCTTTGTTACCTCGACTTCCCCGCCTCCGCTCGCCCTTCCGCAATTCAAGTATCCGTGCTCTTGTCCGCTCTCAGTAAGCATTCTCCGTCATACGACCTGTACCAATACCAGTGTTACTGGTATGCCCATACCGTCTGGGAGGCCCTCAAAAGGCTCTTCCCAGATTGCTACGAGACAACGGAGAGCGAGGGGCGCTCCTGTTATCTCGGGATCAAGATAGAGAAGGCAGACAGCGTGGAGGTGGTGTGTGAGCAGTATCACACCCAGTGGGCGCGCATCGAGAATGCGGCAGAAGAGAGGAGGAGAGCAAAGGAAGATGAAGTACGGCAGGTGAGGTTCCTCCCAGAATCAGTTATGCAATTCATTCATTTGTTGTTACAGCTGCGGATGGAAGAACGGGCTCAATGTCAAGCGGAGATTGACCAAGCGACGAGGAAAGCAAACGAAGCGACGAGGCAAAAGGAGGAGGCAGTAAGGAGAGCGGAGATAGCGGAGAGGATGATAGAAGAAGCGAAGAGGAAAGCAGAGGAGGCAGAACGGAAAGCAGAGGAGGTGAGGTTCTTTCCCAAATTCATTATGCTATTTACTCATCGATTCTCGCAGGTTAGGGCTGAGTGGCAAGCAGAAATGGACCGAATGCGAGCCCAACTCGAGCGCCAGGCAGTGTGATACCGGTGTAACTATTACTCTCATTTCCCCATCACCAACATCCTCATCATGATCAGACGCAGTTGCAATATACATTAGAGCATATCAGAATTGACCTTCCTGTCTCAGACTCTGCGATCGACAGGGCTAGTTCTCATCAGCATTACCGGTAACACGAAAAACTCCTCCGCTTTCAAGGTCACTAAGGACGCATTGCAGCTGCAACGCATGAACGAGCTGTAATCAGTGTGAAGCACGTGGCTAGTTTGAGTCACAGAAGAGCAACCGGTGCCAATATTTGTCGATGTTGCTCGTGTCATATTGTTCTAATACGAGGCCCGTCAATCGTATCGACCAGTGACATCCCAGCAGTAAACAATCTGACGATTTTGGCTGCTACGCCATCTCTTAGATAGTGGAATTGTATATCACGACCGCTGCCAGGTTGGAGAGGACCCATTATTTAGTCTTGTCATCGTTCCTACTATGATTCGAACCAGTCCAGCCAACTGAGTGCATTCGATGGCCATTTAACAAGGTGTAAACATTGGATTCGAGATGTATGTAGGCAAATGTGCTCGACGCGAGGGTTCCGAACGACTAACTTGTGCCTAGGTAGAGTTATGTAGATATGGTACGTCAATGCAGCGACTGATGGGTGGATGCGGTCAATGTAAACGAGTGGATCAACGAATCTGATGGGTGAACGATACGCACTATAACAAAATCATGTATCAATGGAACTGAGATTAGATGGGGTGTCGCAGGAGTTAGAGAGAACATGGGGCATCGTAGAAAACATAACAGTAGGAAAGGAGGTATCGCACATACAAGAAAATAAATCGAGAAAGATATGAGGATTGTCGATGTCGCCGGCAACTTACGAATGACGTGCGGGGCCCATTGCCCGCCGGACAGGATTGTCCCTCTCCACAACAAACGCCCCAGCGCGCAGGCCTTCCTTCGAAGCCAGGCGTTGTTTGCTGTCTTTCTCCCTGCGTTCGCGCTCCTCCCGAGCGTGCTGCAGGAGCTCAAGGCGCTCAGCACCTTTGTCAGAGCCTTGAGGCTTGGAGAATACAGGTTCCCGCTCAGTCCCATCTGCGAAGACTATGTTCTTGCGGGAGCCGGTGCTCGCGGCACTTTTCTCGCCCTCCGATGCGCTGGCATCTAAATATTCAACCTTCGCACGTTTGGCACCAAAGGAGCCGATCGGAGAAACGTCTTGGCTACGGTCACGAGGCTTGCGCTTAAGCTTGTGGGCAAAGAGCCGGCGGGGTGGACATGCCTCAGCCACTTCAAAGTCTGGATGATCGATCGGCAGTTTAGATGCCTCAAGCACTTCAGGGGGAAGATGATATTGGGGGTTATTGAATGTCGCTTTTTGGCCTCGGCTAACGAAGCGGTCAGTATGGAGATATCATTGATGACTAAGAAGACGCACAAGACATAGGTTATTGTCGGTTTCTCCTCAAACACTGGTGCTGGAGTTGGCGTGCTTGCACGCTCAAGGGCTTCTCCGACGGGCAATTCATCATCGCTGCTCTCCCAGCCGCTTGCATTAGATGTGCCTGCTTCACCCTCACCAGCGAGGAAAGGGTTGTCAGGGGAGTCTCGAGTGGGCCATATTTTCTTGGCTTTAGAATCCGAGGGATATAGTAGCGCACGAAGGAAGAGTTTGCGGGGAGGTGTCACGGGTGGCTTTGGTAGAAGAATTATAGGTGGGGGCGAACGCGAGCGCTGCACTGATGATGCACGAGGGTGGACTTGGGGTGCTCTGCGGGAGGGAGGAGGCGAAACGGGCTCACGTACGCGATACTTCAACAGTGCGGGCGAAGGTGACTTGTCCTCTTCCGAATCCTCTACTGCAGAGGATTTTTTACGCTCATGAGACACTACGCCACCACTACGACCAGTCCAGAACGAGTTCTCGTTATCTTCTTCTTCGTCATGCGCAGGAAGGACGTCCATGGTTCGGCGCTTTTTCCTTCCCATGAGCGCATGGGCATCCTTGTCGCCGTTACTTTCATCTTCACTTTTGCTGTGTCGTTCATCGATGCGAACAGTATAGCTTCCACCAAGATTGTCCTCGAGTTCTGACGCGCTGCCACTCTCGTCTGACGCGTGTCTAGAGGTCGCTGACACTGCTTTTGAACGAGATCGCTTGTGATGTGTTCTGGGAGGCGTAGGCAGTGATGCCAGAGATGCAGAGCGTTTTATGGGTCGTGAATGAACTTCCGTATCGTGAACAGAGGGAATGCGGATGGGTGATGAGTCAAGTATCTGATAGCTTGACATGTCTCAAGATCAAAGTCAATGAAGTTGGAAAAGATTTCGCTAAGAAGAGTTATGCAAGAGATAAGATGGTGGTTAGAAAGAAAGAAGTGATAAGCTACGACGTTTCAAACCGACCACGGTCCACTTTGTCGTAAAAACAACACCCACGAAAACAATGCATATAAACACATACAAACAAACGTTCTTGTCCACAACAAATCTGGTTTCACCGACTCGACGGCGCCGCCGTAGTGACTGCAGAACGACTGTCTCCGGTATGATCCACCCCTCCAGCGAATCCTCACAAAGGTGGAACAGAATTCGCTCAATGTGGGATGAAACAGAAGGAATTCGCCGAGGCTGAACTCTGAAATTTCGTCAAACAACTTGTAGATAATTGTAGAGAATGCCACTGGAGATAAGTAGAATACAGTTGTCCTCGATAGTAACAATCAATACCCTTCATTTGCCCTTCATTCTGACGTTCACTGTACATGGTTTGAAGACACGGTTGTTGTGGAATCGGGTGGCCAATTGCCTTTCTCGGACACCTTGAAAGTGTCGCTGCGTTACCACAGCTTCAAATCGAACTTTTATCACCTGTACGTTCAGCTCTCTTCGCGCGCACATCGCGATGGCTTCGGGAAGCCCAGACGACTCTGGTAGGCAAGCTGCCCTTCCCTGGACACCTGACGTGTCCGAGAGTGCAACCGAAGCTCTCCAAGCATTGGACACTTACAAGAAGAAGGATCCATCTAAAGGTCAGCGCTGCAGCATTGGTGTTAGATGAGCGCGTCTATATCGGTAAATCCAATATGCAGTAGTGGTTCGCTTCAAGGCAGTCGGTAACGCACCAATCATGAGGCAGAACTTTTATAAGATTACTGCCTCCAACCGTTTCCAGGCAGTCATACAGTTTTTGAGGAAGGAGCTGGGCTGGAAAGCCGGAGATCCACTGGTTAGGATTGATGACTTTTCTTTAATGTTGAACTGACTGGTCCCAGTTCACATACATCAATCTTGCATTTTCTCCCGCTCCCGACGACACAGTATCAAATCTCTACAAGGTAATGCGCCTAGGTCTTATCGCAGAACATCTTCTGATGGCTATTAAAGTCATTCGCTACGGAAGGACATCTGATAGTCAACTACAGGTTAGTTCCTCGACAATTCGCGTGCACAGCGTGTTGATACGATTGCATACTGTTTAGCACGACGGCGGCATGGGGGGTAACACTCTTGCTAAACAGTGATATCTTGTATACATATTTTTGCGCACGGTTGTGTCACCACTCAACAACATACTTGTCACAAGTTAATACAAATTCTTCGTTCGTATGTCTGTTCCAGAACTCATGTGCAACTCTCATAGAAGGGTGTAGTGACTGACACAGTATCATAAGTCAAGATATCTTCGCCTGGTTCCGAGCACTTTGCATCAAGGGACTTGTTGAACTCAAATAGACGCTCCATCTATCTGATGATTCTGATCCACCCTCTGCCTCGGGAAGTTCCGCTGAGGAAAACCATAACGTACGAGGTACAGGGGATGTCATACATCATCCGATTATAATCAACGAGTGAAATTGAAGCCATGCGCAATAGTTGACAACGTTGACGATCCGACGGCGTCGAACGCAAAACGCTGTGCAAGATCAGATCAACGGTAGATAGTAGAAATCTGGGTAGAACAGAACAGAAAAAAGCCATTCGTTGTCAATGTCAAGACCAAATCTGCTCCTGTGTACAATAAGGCAGTATGTCAGAGAGTGAAAAAAGTGAGTATTATTACGGGAGTGGCGTTGGTATGTCAAAATGTCTTACTTTTATCCCTGATCATCCGACATCTTAGTACGTACCACAGCGGTTCCATGCTGCAGACCAGATAGGCACCGCTATGACCTATGCAAGTGCTTTTTTTCCCTTCCAAGACGCACTGTGTTAGTGTTATTGACACCGAATGGAACTGCTAGGGGTGGGCACAACTCAGTAGAGCTCCATATAGAGATTTTGGTAACAGTTTTACTAATTGCTGTGAACGAGAACGATCTTGATTCGTAAGGACACAGCTTACATGCCAGCCGGTAAAACCACTAGATTTGCAAGCTCTGCCAGACCCAAATCTAAGAGTAGCTCTTCCTTCCCACACAAATGGCACTTTCGCAACCAGCGCGTACTGGCCAAGGTTTTCGTTTTCTTGTGTCGGTACGAATTCAGTGGTTGCTTCATCAGGCGCGAGCACTGGAGTGGGATAGTCATCTCCTCGACAGATAGAATCCATTGGAACGAGAATAAATGACCCGCTTCTAACTTGATCAGAAGATGAAGGCATCTCTTAAGGGCTTTGATGATAGCGTACCACGCTGAGAAAATATTAGTCTCAAACATATCGGGAAGTCGCACCAACACTGACCAATGCTGGAGGATATGAAAACGTGAACTAAAGGGGAAAGGACGAGGAACGCATCTCTGAATTCTAGTTTGCGTCGACTCGCAGGCCGTAGTAAGTGTTATGATCACTTTTGTGATGACAGTCACGGTATAACAGTACGACCAGTTGGCTGAATTGGCTCCAGTTGCCGGTGAATTTCAGTTCGACGGATCGGAACTCTGAATATTTATGGTAGTGACGCGGATCGCGTGAGGGATTACAGGACACGGGTTCCTGACTGTCCACTTCTCAGATGATATAGATCTTGAGAGGTCATGTAACTAAAGCACCTCAATTTCCCCACGCGTATTCAAATACTGATGGCTGGCCAATGGCTGCTGGAACTCAGCGTTCAACAACAAACGGCTAATTTGCCCACCGATTCTTCCTGTTATGAGTTGCTTGGTGCAGGTTATCGGAGAGGAAAATCAGCGACATACCGCGAATCGGAATCTGATGTGACCAACAAACTTATTGGCCAGTCAGGAAAAGCCCAAGGTGCATCTTGTTCAGAAAGTTCGAGTCAAGTCTTGAACTTTCAGGCGAATCAGATGTTTTTGGATCAGTAGTCAGTCTCCCGAAATGTCTCAAATGCGACGAACCCAGACGCTCGGACTGCAGAGTTCTCAGTGCCGTGGCTATCACGAGGTGGCTCACGTCCGAGCGTGTAAGCCGGGGGACGTTTGCCGAAATCATCCTAGCAACAAAAGTCACAGCATCTCACTGGCTTGCACTGGTGAGCGAGAAAAGGGATAGATTTTCTCTCATTTCCAACAGTCTGTGAGTGGTTTGTAAGCACGTTTAAGGGTTGTGCGCGATCCGCCAATGAGAACGTGGCGGCCCCGAGAAGTTCACACGGCTGCGATGTAATGGGTAGTATTGAGGGCAACTGACGTATATAAAGTGGCGTCATATGTGAGAGATCAAGCAAGATCTGTGATATACTTTTCTCTTAATCTACCATCATCATGAGCGGAAGACCAGCTTCAGGTATGTTCATCAACACTTCGAATATCTTATCCCGCGTCCCCCTCACCCGTGATCCTGCAATCAGAGTACAGCGCCTGGAAGAAGCTCCAACAGACGTATGACGCCCAACATGCTAGGCTCATCCTGAAGGATCTGTTCGCTCAAGACCCCAATCGTTTCTCAAAATTCTCCGAGGAGTATGTGGACTCAACCGACAAGAACACGACGTTCTTGCTCGATTACTCTAAACACCTCATTACCCAACCCATCTTAGATACACTCCTATCTCTTGCTCGCGAGGCAGAGCTTGAGAACTACCGCGACAAAATGTTTGCCGGAGAGCACATCAATACATCAGAAGATCGCGCTGTCCTTCATGTTGCTCTCCGCAACTTCGACGATTTCAAGATCCAGGAGGCTGGTGTTGATGAGGTCTCTGCCGTGCTCGCACACATGAAGGAGTTCTCTGAAGCAATTCGGAGTGGTTCATGGAAGGGCTACACTGGCAAGACAATCAACACGATTGTCAACATCGGCATCGGTGGTTCTGATCTCGGACCAGTCATGGTCACTGAGGGACTCAAGCCATACGCTAAACGTGACTTGACCGCCCACTTCGTCTCTAACATCGACGGAACCCACATCGCTGAGACTCTCAGACTCTGTGACCCCGAGCGCACCCTCTTCATCATCGCTTCCAAAACATTTACCACCCAAGAAACTATCACCAATGCTGAATCCGCTCGTGATTGGTTCTTGACAGCAGCCAAGGACAAGGCCCACGTTGCAAAGCACTTCGTTGCCCTCAGCACGAACACAAAGGCTGTTACTGAGTTTGGCATTGACAAAGCAAACATGTTCGCCTTCTGGGACTGGGTTGGTGGGCGCTACAGCTTGTGGAGTGCCATAGGCTTGTCCATTGCCATATATATTGGCTACGATAACTTCGAGCAGCTCCTGAAGGGTGCCCACGGTATGGATAAGCATTTCAAGGAGACTCCCCTCGAGAAAAACCTTCCCGTGCTCATGGCTGTTATCGGCATCTGGTACAACGATTTCTATGGTGCCCAGACTCATGCACTCCTACCATACGACCAATACCTCCACAAATTCGCTGATTACTTCCAGCAAGGAGACATGGAGTCCAACGGAAAGTTCGTTACCAAGGGTGGTCAACGTGTTGACTACCAGACAGGGGTAGGTGCAATAGACCCATCTGCGTGACAGAGACTGACATGATCTTACACGCAGCCTATCATCTGGGGTGCCGCAGGCACTAACGGACAACATTCGTTCTATCAGCTAGTGCACCAGGGCACGAAACTCATTCCCGCAGATTTCCTCGCCCCTGCCACAAGTCACAACCCCATCGCCAATTCCAAGCACCACCGTATTTTACTTTCCAACTATTTCGCCCAGCCTGAAGCGCTTGCATTTGGTAAGACAGAGCAGGAGGTGCGCAAGGAACTTGGCAGTGGTGCAAGCGAGGCGCTCGTGAAGAGCAAAGTGTTCGAGGGAAACCGCCCTAGCAACAGTATCTTGTTCCCGTTGATGACCCCAAGAACCCTCGGTGCACTCATCGCGTTGTATGAGCACAAGATCTTCACCCAGGGTGTCATCTGGGGTATCAATTCTTTCGGTAGGGATGTTCCCTGTTCTCGCTTTCTCGTTCGCTGATGGTTTTTGTAGATCAAATGGGTGTCGAACTTGGAAAAGTTCTTGCAAAGAACATTTTGTCGCAGTTGAATGACCCGTCCGATGTGACTGGCCACGACAGTTCGGTGCGTTCATCTTTCACCATGCTTTACTTTTTAGCTAAGGCAAAAGCGGCCTGCAGACTACTGGTCTTATTCACTACTACCAAAAGCACCGAAAGGAATGAATTGTAATCCCAGGGCTGTAATTTCGCGAGTAGACTGTAAAATAGTACCGAGGTATTTTTGCCGATTCTTGATAACAGTAGTTAAACAGGAGTGTAATCTTAGCACAATTTCAAAACACTTCGAGATAAGAGAGGCCTCGGCTTCAAACACCGAATGACCGCAGAAATCCTGCACCACGATGTCGCGTTGACACCGTATCATTCGATCTGTCAATGATTTGTCTCATTGACGGACACCGCCCTGCGGGCAATGTCGATCAATTCGCGACCCGCATGCAGTATCGTCACGTTGCGAGCAGCGAGATAGGTCACATCATTCTAATGTAACGCAATATTGGTTTGCCCGAAACTATGATGCTTCTCTATTTCAAAACGCCAAATGAATAACGAAATTCCAACGAATCATATTCCCTACAGAGCGCATTGCAAATGTGAATAACCTGTGGTGTTTTCTCTGTTACACAGATGAGCCAGTCGACTTCTGTGTGAGTCCCTGGAAAACCATTGTACTCGTATCAGTTCTTTCGTCTGATTGCGTCATCTCCTTGTCGTGATATTCTCGAATGCTGAGAATGAGGCGTGGTCCCAGTATAAACATCTGCATGACCTGGGCAAGTTGAAGAATGCCATAATAGATCTCAACTCCTAAGGGATCCTGTACGAATGATGAGGGCCAGTCAGACGTAGATGTCAGCCAGGGATCGCGTACCCCGATGCTTGGAGAGAGACTACCGAGGTTCAAGCAAGCGACAGCAGCATATCTGATACGTGGAAAACTTCAGTGGGGAAATATAAGGACATCCTGATCATGAGCTCACGCTATAAAGTAGAATGCATGTGTTTCGATTAACACCCTGAAATAGTTCCCAAGGGTCAATTTCGCCAATGGCTGTTTCAGTTCACGGAGGTATTTTACAACGACCCAGACTGCGAGACACAGTGTGGTAAGCTCCCATGCAGTGGATATACCCCATGCCTCGGTTACTAGATTTGAACTGCTTCCAGTAGGACTGCACTGATGGATTCCGTAGATAACGATCTCCACTGATGTTTGATGAGACTGCTGTGCTTAGGTGATTCATTAAGCTTACCTCCTGAAATATGGCTAGTCGCGGCAATCACTGTAAATACGATGGTGGCAGCGAGAAGGAATACAACGAGAAAGACAAGCATTTTTCTGGACCGCTCATACATGGCATGTAACCGGATGATGAGGATAACTAGAATGATATTTTGTTCAAGTAAATATCACTAATAGTCGATGCAGTTGAGTGGCTCACCTCCCAGCACGGCATTTGCAACTACAGATGTCCCGCTTTGTAAGTACCAAATGATAGTGCCTGAAAAACTGAGTAACGAGCTTCCGTGCTTCCAAAAAACGTACAGCTGTGCAGTTGTTATATTTGTTAACGCAACAAGCTGGTCGAAGCTTTCACTAACCTCTATATAGAAGTATATTTAGTTGGAGGGAATGGTAATAGTTGCTGCAGAATACTTACTGTATCCGTCAACGAGACCGATGGGAGAGTCCCTGCATAGTACCGGTCAAAGAAACGTTCTAGTATACTTTTGAGACATACACAGCACGGTAGAACTGATTGCGAGAGATGGCTGATTAGTACCGGGCCACCTTGTCAGCCTCACACACATACACAGTGAATATTATTCCAGTGCAACGCAGCTATTTTGTTTTGGTATCAGCACACCTTGCCAAGTAATGGTTATAAGATAACTTACACTCAGATATAAGATAGTCATCAGGGACCAGCGTTTCGTCTGCCCCGCATCAATTCCATTATCCGATTGTCCCAGATCTGCTAGACTTTGCTCACCCATACCAGTTCGATCTGTAAAACCGTTCTCAGTGAGATGGCTCTCAGGGCGTCAAAATCAGCCTACCTCTTGGCCTAACGTCAGTACTGGTAAACGCCACAAGGACATCAACAATGCATTCAATAAGTACCATCTTGCTTACCCCATTCATATATGATGGCAGCAAAGGATGCAACTGCGAAATCGCCATCAAAGATAAAGTGAGATATCACCAACACCATCCGACTTGGTCTCCACGAACCTACAAAATAGCTGTAAAAGCGATACAACTTGATTTGCGGCCACGAATCGGACATATTCAAGTTGATATCAGTGGGTCGCGAACTCGGATGTATACTGATCGCAGCACATTCATGATTCGTGCTAGATATACTGCTATCCGGCGCTTTTCGAGAAAGGCATCAATGATTATGCGCAGTAAGACGGACCCCGGGCTTTAGGCTTGAATCAGAAGATATTTTGGGGATATGTTTGGACCTGGAAAGCAGTAGTACTATACGACTAAGTATAGGCCTGGCAGAAAGCTTGAACACCGTGAAACGAGAAGGGCCGCACAATTACCACATTGATTTAGCTTGATCACTGACTCTGTGCAAAACCGCGTGTGATGTGGATGGATCAGGAAATAAAGAAAGTCACGCGCCGCGACGTGCTGTGTCTTCCCCCACCTTATCATCATCGCATCTTCCATCTTTGATGAACTTTCTGACACCAGGCTACTGCCGAAACTAAACGTGAAGCGACTGCAACTGTCATGACAAATACGTCCCCTTGACGAGCTCAGGCAATTTCTTTCGAACGCTGCTATGTTGCATAGGCCATACCACGGACTCCGAGCCAAGCGTCTTCTATGCCATTGTGTTCACTACAGATTATCAGTTTCTTTTTGATCTCTTAAGTCGCCTTGAAGCAAAAGAGTCCCCCGGTAGATTTCGTGATCAAGCTTCAAGGCTCATCCGCTGAAAAATAACAAGGTATATTTTCGAGTTGCAATATCGACGGTTCTCCTAGAAAGTTCAGACTGCTCTTTAATGGTGCCTCAGAGTACTGTTTTTTTTTTTTTTTTTAAAATCATTGTTATTGTCCTTTGGGGTCATAGACCCTATGTCGGACATAGCCCTATTCGAGTGCGGGGGGCTTACTCCCGGCTAGCTATCGTAAGTGTATATGTACTGTATGTGTTCTGGGGTCTTTGACACGTACTCCATTGGCGTGTAGTCGGGCCAAGGCCGACTGCCAACTTCGTACAAGGGAACGGCTGTTGGGGTAAAGTATGGGTAGGTGAGAACTAGGTAAGGTGAGTAGTGATAATACTAGCGAAGGCTCAGTATAGTTGCGGGAACAAAATACTAAATTGTCAGTACCTAGCGAAGGCTAGTGTACGAGTCAGTACAAGATGTAGATACGACGAGTGCAATACATACCTCAGTATAGTTGCGGGAACAAAATACTGAGGTGCAATCAAGAGACGAGCGCGATACAAATATCTGCGAGGATGCTTAGGTAACGAGTCCGGAGGATTAACGTGCGGAGAACAGAACGAGTTCGGAGGATTAACGTGCGGAGAAGAGAAGATGAGAAGCACTAAATAACGCATGGTACGATGGTGCAAGATAACAGATAACAAGATAAAGCAAGAGAAGTAAGTGACTCAACGTATCAAGCTCTCGATGCTAACACACCCCCTCACCGAGGTACCAGCTGCAACTCAGTGGACTGCTTGAGGAACAATGGACGTGGGAGGGGTTTGGTCAGGATGTCGGCAATGTTCCTATGGGAAGCTAACCAGAGAGGAAGGAAAAGGCCCTTTTCGATGTACTCGCGAATAAAGTGATAGCGAATGTCGATATGTTTTGAGCGAATGTGATTCTTCGCTTCCTTCGATAGCGAGATGGCGCCGGTGTTATCCATGTAAAGGATGATTGGGAGGACAAATGATACGTGAAGTTCGGTGAACAGCGACTTGAGCCAGATACCTTCCTGTAAGGCGTGAGTGACCGCCATATACTCCGCTTCGGTGGAGGAGAGAGCATGCGTCGTTTGCTTCTTCGACACATGCGCAATAAGGCCTCCTGCAAAGAACCACGCGTATCCGGAGATGGAGAGATGGTCATCGGGCGAACCTGCCCAGTCGGCATCACAATAACCGTGCAGCCCTTCATCAGCACGTGCACCCCCATAATGAGAACGTAAGTTCACAGTGCCGCTGATGTAGCGGAGGAGTCGCTTAGCAGCAGCGTAAAAGCGAGGTGAAGGCTGAGCGCAGTGCTGGGCTAGTGTGTTAACGGCGAATGCGATGTCTGCGTGTGTACAAACAGCTAGGTAAAGCAGTTCACCTACTATCTTACGAAAGCGAGTGGGAAGATTGGGGATCTCGTCATAAGTGTCCGTGTCGCGTCCGAAGGGGTTCTTTGGGTCTAGAGGAAGTTGTACGGGATGGCAGTCGAGGAGATCATATTCATCAAGGAGGTATGTAATATACTCTCCTTGATGCATCCATAAGTCACGGGAGGCACGACGGCGTTCGAATTGGATTCCTAGGAATTTTTGAACGGGACCTAAGTCTTTGATCCCGAAGCGTTGAGCTATGCGTCCCTTGACGTAGGTGAGGAAAGGCTTTGAGTTTGAGGTCCCCATTCCGTCGTCAACGTGCCAACCGACGATGCAGAAGATATGACCGGTAGAGCTGGAAGTTTTGTCGTAAATGAAGACGGCGTGATCAACTGCACAACGAGTGAAGCCGAGTTCTGTCATCACTGCGCGTACTTGCTCGTACCACTCCATAGCGGACTGCTTTAGTCCGTAGATCGTCCGGAGCATGAGCCATACCATTAGAGCCCAGTCCCCTTCCTCGAAGCCCTTTGGCTGACGCATGTAAATTTCCTCCTTCAGGATTCCCCATAAGAACGCACGCCGTGCGTCAAACGTGTCGAGCTCCCAGTCGTGGCGGCATGCGAGTGCTGCGATGAGGCGAACTGAAGCAGTCTTGATCACTGGAGCGAAGGTTGCGCCGTAGTCGACACCGGGAACTTGGGAAAATCCTTGAGCGACCAATCGAGCCTTCTGGATAGGACCTCCTTTATTGTCCTCTTTAAACTCTAAAACCCAGCGATTTCCTATCGCTTTGCGCCCCTCAGGTAACTTCGTCATCTTGTAAACACCCATTTCCTTCATGGTGGCAAGCTCGGCCTTCATGGCCGCAAGCCAGTGTGCGTGATCTGACCGTTTCATCGCTTCTTCGTAGGTTGCGGGGGGAATCGACATGTCATAGTCTGGATTGAGTGGGTCTCGTTTACGATTGCTGCGCAGCGCGACATTGACTTGTTCCTTGATGCAGGCATTGGCCATGACTTCTGGTACGTCAACATTTGGCTCGACGTCTACGAGGTCTTAACCACCATCACCGCCAGGAGCTGGACTAGTCACCCCCTCACCGAAAGGAGGCGACACCCCCTTGGTCTGTGCACCATGTTCTGCACGCATGTTGCGTAAGCTTTCAAGACGCGCCTTCGAGGACGCAATCTCATCAGCGTACGCTTGGCCGGCCGCAGTGCGGACCTGAGAGCGGGCAGAACGACGAGGTGGGACAGGAAGTGCGGGAGGAGCCGAGAGAGGTGTAGGTACAGCGGGCGGGGGAGGAGGAGTGGCAGGTTCAGCAGAATCAGAGTCGGAATCACTGAGGTCGTTCGCTATGGAGGGAAGATTCTCATCGAAGATGACGTCGCGAGCCGTGAAGAAAGTCCCAGAGTCTCTGTCACGAAGACGGTAACCCTTCGTCCCCTCGGAATACCCCATGAAGACTGCGTGACGCGAATGAGGGCCGAGTTTAACCTGAAGTTCTGATGGGATACGCGCGAAGCATCGAGAGCCGAACACCCGTAAGTGGGACAAGTCAGGCTTGCGACCGTTGAGGACTTCGTATGGGGTGAGGCCTGGCGCCAAAGTGGATGACTCACTGCGGTTCCAGAGGTAACAAGCAGTCAGTGCTGCCTCACCCCAGAGTGTCGCAGGCAGACTGGCAGTCTGAAGCATGGCGAGGATGCGACCTTCAATGGTGCGGATAGCACGTTTGGCCTTACCATTCTGTTGGTGGGCGTATGGCGCTGACAATTGGCGCTCGATACCTGCAGCCTGAAGCGCCTGAGTGAAGGACGTGCTTATGAACTCCCCACCGTTATCACTACGAAAGACCTTAACCCTCCCTCCAGATTGGTTTTCCCAGCGCTTGCGGACGATCTCCCAGGCATCTAGCGCCTGGTCCTTGGTGGCGAGCAGCTGTAAGTTAAGTAGATTGCTGTGGTCGTCCAAGAAGATGATGAAGTGGTGTTTGCTGTGGGGGGTTGCAACAGGAAACGGTCCACAGAGGTCTGAGTGCACTAAATCAAGAATGTTGGAAGCCTTCGGAGTAGACGAGGGATGGTAGGGTTTGCGTGGATGTTTGGCCATAATGCACGGCTCACAGGTGTGCAGTGGCTGAGACGCATCAACTTTGGTGCCGGTAGAAAAACGACTTAGGCGTTTCACAGCCTCACCGCCAGGATGACCAAGCCTTGCATGCCATAAGTTCCATGTCAATGGAACCTTGGCAAAAGCCGAGATTTCGACATGAGGCGATGGCGTGGAAGGCAAAATAAACTTTAAGTCTAAAAATACCAAGTTTCCCATCATCGGCACGTCACCTAGCTTCTCGCCTCGATAGACAAGTTGGCACCGGGGAGGCTCGGGTAAGAAATGACATGCCCATCCCTTCTTCACCATTCTCCCCACTGACAGCAGGTTGATCATTGCCCCGGGGGCATGCAGACACTCGCCAAGTCGGATGCGCTGAGTGCGCCCACCAATGGTGAGATCCGCGACACAATCCCCCCGACCGGAGGTGACAAGTTTGCCGTGGTTTGCAGTCTTAACCGTGACCTGGGTGCTCGTATTGTAAGTCCAAAAGAACTTCTTGTCCATGATGAGCGTTGATGTGGTCCCGGAATCTAGGATTGTCGGCAACATTTGACTGGCGATGCATGCCAAGTCATCCTCCTTCGGCATGGACTCAGGGATGAACTCCTCGATTGTGGCGCAGGACCAGTCTCGATGGTGAGTGGATGAGGTAGCGAGAGCTGCCGTCTCGGTGTATGGCGGCGCTGAGGTGGAGTCCTTTGGCTCTGTTGCTGCTGCCGCTACATCTTTCTTTTTGCCTCCAGTGCGCTGACTCCAAGGAGCCTTCCCCTCCATTCCCCCTCCAGGCTGTAGACAGTGGTCTCGGTCGTGCGTTAACGACCGAGGGAGGCCATTGCACACTGGGTTCTCGCATGGCACCCCCTTGGGGTTGTTCTTATGGATCCGTACACCTGTCGCCGGATTGACTACGCGTTGCTCATTCAAGCGTTGAGAGAAGTTGGCGGCCGCGTTGGCATACTCCGATCCGGGTTTCGCCTGGAGTTTCAGCTTCCCGTTCTGACGGTTTGCCTCTTCTGTGAAGGACGTTGCTACCTCTTCGAAAGTGAGTTTCGGTGACGTTGTAGTAGAAGTGGAGGTTGACGATGTGGATGGGGCGATCTTATAGGCATTCATGGTGAGACTACGAAAGACGATCCATTGTGGGATGTCTGGGAGTCCGTTGAGGAGCATGAAGATGCTTTCTTCTTCGGTGAATGTAACGCCCATCTCCGCAAATCTTCGACGACCGTTCTCAAATACTCCGAGATAACGGGCTGCGTCCTCCGCATCTT